CTTTCGAAAAGCATAGTCGCCTCTTACGACAAGCATAGTCGCCCCTTACGGCAGGCATAGTCGCCTCTTACGACAAGCATAGTCGCCCCTTACGACAGGCATAGTCGCCTATTACGACAAGCATAGTCGCCTCTTACGACATGCATAGTCGCCTCTTACGACAGACATAGTCGCCTCTTACGACAGGCATAGTCGCCTCTTACGACAACCATAGTCGCCCCTTACGACAAGCATAGTCGCCTCTTACGACAAGCATAGTCGCCCCTTACGACAACCATAGTCGCCCCTTACGACAAGCATGGGTTGCCTATTCTAACCCGGGTCTGTGAGTGTACTTTACGACGTGTTTGCGCCATTCTGGCATTATTACGACTGTTGAAACTAAAAATTGTCTCCTCACAGTGTACCTATGTGGGGAATTGAAAAGAAATAGTAACTAAGGCACGGTCATTCACCGTTCATTCAGAGTTTCGTCCCTTAGTTGAGCCAGGATCAGCTATTCGCAGCGTGAGGCTCTGAGCATGGATTTTAGTATTCTGCCAGTTGTACGATCCCTTTCGGAACCAAGATATGAGTGAGTCACTGACTGAGTATAGTTTTACGCGGTGTTAGCCACACTCCGGCGCAGTGGTGACTTCACATAAGGCCACTGCCACAGGTTAATTTGCATATCACGTGACCGGACTTTTCCCTTGTTTGTAAACAAACGTCCTTTTTCAGAAATCAGAATAGAACGGACTAATGCAAGTATTTGGGGGCACTTTACATATTGTTTTGCACAATTATATTGATATGCTGCTACAACTGTGAGTTGCATGGCAATACATATTTGGCCAAATACAGTAAACTACGGTTATAACGAAGTCAAAGGGACATCTAATTTTAGTTCGTTATAACCGCAGTTTGTTATAAGCATATATACAGCACATATACAGCACATATACAGCAAATGGCCGGGACCAAAAGATATCTTCGTTATATCCGTTAGTTCGATATAAACGTGTTCGTATTAAACGTAGTTTACTGAATTACACATCAAAGTGACCGTATCGCTAGTTCTCCGTAGGGTTTCAATGACAGCACATGGAGCCGTTCAACCAATGTAACTACGCAAATGGGAATAGATTTACACGTTTTAGGGTATATTCTCAAGGGAAGTTAACCATTCGAAGACATATGTATATCTAGATATACATATGCAATATCTTGAATGGACTGTGTAAGATGTGACGAATCGTCACATGGCGCTGGCCTGTGGCAGATGCACTATGCTGGTCGCATGGAACTCTGGGTAGGAGTGGGTGTCCAAAATACCAAAATGCAAACGAAACGAGCGCCTTCATATTTGGCCCCATGTTTAAGGATATACAATATATTGCTTACAAAACTACGCTACTCATCCCCTCAGTTAAATTATGACTTATTTAGTAAGGTTTAATAGACAGCCCTAGCTGCCACTGTAGTTCTCCGTGTGACAACGTTTATCACTACATTATAGACTGTCCACTGCAAGAAATATAATGTTTCATAGCATAAATGAAATGTGTAAGAACAAGCTAGTCCCTGATATGCCATTATTGTAACACGGGAGCTCCAATCTCAGCAGCATCGAAAATGCACAGTTGCTTTTCTCTGTCCATAAGTATATCAACTGCACAAAAAGATTTAAATAAATGTAAATCTCAGTCCCCTGCTGCTCCTCTCTGTATAGACTCTGTCTTTTGTTTGTTTGTTTGTTTGTTGTTTAACACCACACTCAACAATATTCCAGCTATATGACGGCGGTCTGTAACTAATCGAGTTTGGACCAGACAATCCAGTGATTGATATCATTAGCATCGATCCACGCAATTGGGATCGATGACATGCATCAAATAAGTCAGCAAGCCTGACCACCCGATCCCGTTAGTCGCCTCTTACGACAAGCATAGTCTTTTGTACATATTGAACGTGTTATGTTGTGCTAATCATGTAAATATTTTGGTAGGGGGCTACCGAAGCTGTGTAAACTTGTGCCTTATCCTTTTCCTTGTGAATAAAATATGTCTAAATCTTAATATACCGCGCTTTATGAAAGATCATACGATATTGATAAATCATCAATCTCGTCATGCCATCGGTCTAGTCATTTTCTCCTTACAACATTTTGGTATCATATATGGCCACGTGTTTTACTTGAATTCTTAAATAACAAAACATGTTACAACCACGTGACTTAGCTAAACGATACATTGTAACAACATCTATCCAGTCATAGTGATGGTCCGCAGAGAGAGAGAGAGAGAGAGAGAGAGAGAGAGAGAGAGAGAGAGAGAGAGAGAGACACACGCACGCACTACTAATCTAAATCGGAACATATAAATAAAAGTGACAAAAATCATAATTTTAGGAATCTGTACTAAACATAAATGCTTGTCAGCTTGTGCTTATCATTTTCAGAACGAGACTGAAAAGAATTGAAATAAAGTGAAATAAAACATATTTGTGAAACAATACACACACGCTCTGGGTGAGTGAGTTGGGTTTACTGCCGTCTGGAACAGTGTTCAGTTATATCACTGCGTGTCAGCTTGATGTGAGAGGAAAGCCGAGATGATGCAGGTCTCAGACATTTACCACCCACAAGCACGGGTATGGTGCTGACAAACCTAGAAACATAATCGGGGCGAACCGGGATTCAAACCCACGATCATAGGTTTCTGACGGCCAAAGGGACGAAAATCTGCCAAGGGAATTGCGCGCCTTAGACGACGGGCCTACCTGTGCCACCCTATAATAACTAAATTGCAAGGACCGTCTGGTTTTAAAAAAGAGACATAGCGTTGATCCAGATTTTTAAAAACTGCTCTGTCCACCAGAAACGGCACCTCCAAATAAACTGGGTTTGGCTGTAGTATCAGATGTGGAGCTGTGGTTGGTATCAGTTGGCGATGTTGCTGGTGTATAAAGTATACACAGTAGATATCAACCGATGTCATTCAGCCAGCCACGCAGCCCGCCACCTCCCTGCCCTTCTGGCATTTCCCTTGTAGCTCGAGAATGTCAGGAAATAGTCGGGTTCAGTATGGAAGTCCGTTTCTGTATAAATACCACATACACACTACATTGGGGGCGGTGGGGTAGCCTAGCGGTTAAAGCGTTCGCTCGTCACGCCGGAGACCTGGGTTCGATTCCAAACATGGGCAAAATATGTAATGCCTATTTCTGGTGTCCTTCGCCGTGATATTGCTGGAATATTGATAAAAGCGGCGTAGAACCATACTCACTCACCACTTCATTGAATGTGAGTGAGTATGGTTTTACGCCGCTTTTAGAACTATTCCAGCGATATCACGACGGTGGACACCAGAGATTAGCTTCACACAGTGTACCATAAGGGAATCGAACCCCGGGTTTTCGGCGTGACGAGCGAACGCTTTAACCACTTGGCGAAATTGAATGTACGCGATTAAATGGAACTCGTTGCTATTGTACTGCTCTTCTGTTAATATGATGCGGCATTTACTACATATGTAGGGACCAGTTGGACACTTACGACGAACTAAGAGTGCAGAGTTAACGTTCTTGAAATATCGTATTAATGTAACCACTTCCTTCAATTTTCGTGAACACGTCTACAGCAATACATTTGTTTCAGTATAAACATCTGTGATTTTATTGTAATACTTTTTAGCGTTGACATATGTTGTGTTAATGTGTACCGTAAGTCTTAGTCCCCAGTGAGGACCCAGGTTAGAACAGGTCTTCAGCAACCCTGCTTGCATTTTGCCGTATAAAGAGGCGACTAACGGGATCGGGTGGTCAGGCTCGCTGATATGGTTGATGCACGGCATCGTATCCCAATTGCGTAGGTCGATGCTCAATCACTGGATTGTCTGGTCCAGACTCGATTATTTACAGACCGCCGTCGCTATAGTTTAATTACTGCTGGTTGCGGCGTTAATCAACAAACAAACAAACAAACATAAATCTAGTCGTATAGGATGGCCATCAACTTGAACAATGCGAACACATTGTGAATGTTGTTATGATTTACAACGTATTGTGATCTCACTCTTTACTGGTCGCTAATAAATAGCTACAAATCACTCTTATGGTGACATTATGTCAATGCAGATGCTGATCTTTTACCAGCCTCTACAAGCGCCGTTCAAGTTCTTTGATGGTATCAAAGAATATCGCGTTAATATTTTCACCCAATCCATTATCTTTATGTTTTGTTTGTGTGTTTGTTTAACGCCACACTCAGCAATATTCCAGCTATATGACGGCGGTCTCTAAATAATCAAGTCTGGACCAGACAATTCAGTGATTGATATCATGAGCATCGATCGACGCAATTGGAAGACGATGACATGCATCAACCAAGTCAGCGAGCCTGACCACCCGATCCCGTTAGACGCCTATCTGTATGTACTTACACATATTACTAAAATTAAACTTGAAGATAATTAAACAAGTCGCCATTGTTATTTTAGAATGTGAAAATAACCGGAAAGATGATGTGAAATGGAGATTAATGCACTTATATAGCGAAGTGCAAGCACGTGTGCACTCCACGATTGAACTAAAGTAAATATTTACTTAATTGCCACAGCTAATATTACTTCATCATTTGATATAACATCAGTGAATATTTTTTTTCGCGATGTTCTTATTCCACAGAAAGACCCTGAATTCTTTGCCAAATTTTAAGAAAATCTGGAGACTTTTAGGCAAACGTAAAAAAAGATTTTCTGGATTAAAATTAGAATTTTAGAATTATTAGAAGCGCTCATAAAATGTGTGCTATTGTTCTTTCTCCGCTTGCCCCGCATTACACCATGTATGCACATATGCATCTCAGAGTATATATGCCACGCCAGCAAACTCCCTAGCCCTCTACTGATCCGTAGCCCCCACAACACAAGTCGCGGTTATAACCCCTGCGTGTATCCGTACTTGATGCCGTTTACCATTTCCGCTCCTTCCGCAAGCCTTATTTCTCATTAAAAGGGAGGCAACTGTTGTCGCTGAACGATATGTCAGTTTCGGAACTTGTTGGCTGGAAGATTCAAGAAGTACCTCTAATTCGGCAGTATGGCCGCGAATGGTTCGACGTGTCGGCACACTTGCCAGGAACTTATTGTATGGATGTTTATAACATCAACTTTGTTGATGTGCATTTTAAATATCGCTGATATATGTGTGGCGGAAGACACTTACAGTGAGAAACATGAACGATCTCCACCGACAGTGTCAATTGCAGTGCTCGTCCGCAACAAAGCTCACACTCTTCCGTGGTTTCTGGGGCAATTAGAAAAACTGGATTATCCGAAACATCGGATTAATCTGTGGTAAGTACACATTTGAGTTAGACGACCTCAGTACGACATGGCGAATGCCCTGTTAACGATGGCAGTGTATTTGCATGTAGGAATCTTGAGTATGTACATTTTTTTTAACTAGGCACCCTCCCCCCCCCCCCCCCCCCCCCCTCTCCACGTCCTAACATCACCAGTCCGGATCGACTAGTTCCATCATTTTTGATACTTTTTGTATCATGTGTTTTCAAATAGCTACTGTCTGATTGACCATCATGATGATGATGATGATGAATCTTCTTAAGATTGAGACTTTGTCAATAATTAAATCATAAGTAATATTACTTCTGTTTCTCGAGTGACTATCCTTTCATTATTTCATTGAAATCAGGGTGCACTTAAATAAGACCCGTGAAGATCCGGGGTAGAATAGGTCTTCAGCAACCCATGCTTGCTGTAAAAAACGACTATGCTTGTTGTAAGAGGCGACTGACAGGATTGAGTGGTCAGGCTCGCTGTGTGGATCGATGCTCATGATGTCAATCACTGGATTGTCTGGTCAAGACTTTATTATGTACACACTGCCATCATAGAGCTGGAATATTGCTGAGTGTGGCGTTAATCAACAAACAAACAAACAAAAAGCACTTAAATAAAATATAAAAAATGTGCATTATTCGCTACACAATTTGTATTTTTAGCCCCCAAATCAAGTAGGGTTTTACCTTGACCTACAAATCTAGGGATTCAGGGGAAACCCAATAATTAATTTCAAGTGTCCTCACAGGAAATATTAGGGTCTTCAAAATAATGAAATGGTGTAGAGTACTGAACTGCATGATTTTGATTATTGCTTTAATTACAGAACCTTATATTTCTTGTCAAGAATTGGATACAGTGAGTTTTTGTGTGCGTCATTCGGGATGCAATATATTTTTTTTTCTGCATCCATTCCATATATTTCTGCACACTGGATGCACATTTCTGTCCACTTGAAATACATGATGCTAGAAACGGCAATCCAATAAACAAACACTTACGAGCAATCCAATCTAATCTGGTGATATGAGAGCTTGAGAAACGCCCTTCCAAAATGAAGCTTTAGTTGTTTAATTGGTCCAGGATATTCATCACAATAGAATTGACGTAAGTATAACACCCTAGGTAATGAGACATGCTGACTGCCATGCAATAATGGCTATCATGATTGGTTAATCATTCTATAAAACAATTAATCTGTTCTCATAATCCTGGAACAAAACTCAGAGCTCCAGACAACTTTTTGAGCAACTGAGTTTTAACTCTAGGGTTTCTATCTTAATTGGGTTATTACATTTTTCATTGGGTAACCAGTATTTGTTCACTCATCTATTCATCACTCTGTTGGGTTTTTCCGCAAAATTAGTGAACATTTTAAGATTTAAAAAAAAATGAACTAATGTTTTAGATGTATATAACTGTTCTAAATATATAGACTTAACTCGGACTTCAGAAATTAGCTGCTGAAAAAATTTCTTGGGTATTTACACGTGCTGTTTTTATACATTTAAGTTTTTAATTTAATGCATGCGTTTCTGTAAGCAAGTTCATTGAAAGTAATTGGGTTTTGAATATTTTTTGGGGGTATTTTATGCAAATACGCTTCTTAGCTGTAGCTCTGTAAACTAATTTTACCACTGGCTTTACAGAAAAAAACACAAAGTTGTATGTTTTGAAGCAGTGACCCCCTAAATTTCAACCCCCAACCCCAAACCCCCAAAATATTGAGCATTTCTGTCCCTAATGCTCTTCAAACCACCACACAATCATACAAGATTTTCTGTAACAAAATATAGCTAGAAATATATATATATTTTTTACACTGTATGAACTTTTATCACAATGTGTTATTGTGTCCCTTATCACTGCTTATGGTAAGCATGGATGATCATGATGATTGATACTATGATAGTCACATTGTTCCACATCATGATCATGTTTGTAACAATACAATCTTAGAGTGCTGATAAATTAGTTATTGCTTTACAGAGCTCCAATAACCTGCATATTTGTTTAAAATACTCAAAATAAATCACCATTGCTCATTAATTTGGAGTTGCTTGCTTATAAATACACATGCATTATTTCAAAACCCCAATAGCTTGGCACCACTGCGCATTATTACCCAATGTAGCCTTTTCATCCTCCTCACCTGAATAAACTTAGTTAATGCAGTCATGAACTACTGCTGGGAATAATGCACAAATGTTATGTCTGATACGTTTTTTGCTGTTTAGAGCTTATAAAATATACATGTTAGGGGCAGCACATGAACAGAAGGTCCGGTGAAGATCCGGGGTAGAATAGGTCTTCAGCAACCCGCGCTTGCCGTAAAAGGCAACTATGCTTATCATAAGAGGCGACAAACGGGATCGGCTGGTAAGGTTCGCTGACTTGGTTGATGGATGTCATCGATCTCAATTGCTCATGATATCAATCACTTGATTGTCTGGTCCAGACTAGACTATTTACAGACCACCGTCATATCACTGGAATATTGCTGATTGCGGCGTCAAACAACGAACCAACAAACCAACATGAACAGAATAAAATTAGAAGTTACTGAAACAGCATTTTAAGCAGAATTATTAAAAAGAATGTCTATTCATTTGTATATAAATATCCAATGGAGTGAATATTTTGACTACCCAAAGTTTGTATGTTGTTTAACTCTGCACTCAGCATTATTTCAGCTATATGATGGCGGTTTGTAAATATTGGTGTTCCAGCTATATGATGGCGGTTTGTAAATATTGGTGTTCCAGCTATATGATGGCGGTTTGTAAATATTGGCGTTCCCTGCCTTGATATTGCTGGAATATTGCTAAAAGCGGCATAAAACTATACTCACTCACTCATTTGGGGAAATGCTGAAGGGCAGACATAAATGAATAATTTGAAGTTAGACAGAACTCTATGGTTACACTACAAGTCACTAATGTTCACATTTCTTTCTGACTATGCACCCATTCCTTCTGATTTTCATATGGTTGAATAAAGGTATAACTTAATTCAACTTCAATGTATGAATGACCAGATTGTTTACTACGTGTATCTAAATACGTTTTGCCAGGGCTATGCTAAAAATGTTCCCAATCGGACATTTTGAGACATCTCCTGAGACCTACAGTGGGTACCCGGGTAGGGTCGAGTAATAGGGGTGTGGGTACCCGGGTAGTAAATTTGAACTCGTCCCAGCCCTAAATCTAGCTATAAGATGGCGGCCTGTAAATAATCGAGTCTTGACCAGACAATCCAGATTGACATAAATACTGATCCACGTAAACAGGATATGATGACATACAATCAACCAAGTAAACTCGCAGGATCCCCTGAACAATTTTAGCTTGTTAAGTCACCTTACCGTATATATCAATGTAGGAGTAGACCATATATATTTATACCTACATATATTTCAGGTTCCGAAGTGATCACAACATTGACAATTCATCTGCCATGCTACAGGAATGGATAACTGCAGTTCAGCCCTTGTATCATCGAATTGACGTTAAGATTGATAACACTACTGCTAGTAAGTAGCAATATGTCTGGAATAAGATCAACAACTAGAATTTCATTGAGTTTCACACTTGTGGCCAAGCAAAAGCTCTTCTTTAAGTTCATAATCTGATACTCTTGCAATGCTGTCTTCATCACATGATTCTTCTTAGTGAAGCAAATCATCAAATTATGAAATCTATTTGTACAGTCAAGATGATAAAGCACTTGAACTACACCCTAATTTCTTACCTGGCATCCAAAATAGAATTAAATTGCAATTTGGGATTTGAATGACTCTGATTTTATTTATCAGGTATGCATAGAAACAAGGACAAAACTAATAAAAAGTAATGAATTAGGCTTAACGAATGTAACGAAATAAACAGTTGTGTGACCAAATAAACAGTTGTGTACAATGAACCTGGGAAAGCATGTCTCTACATAAATGTATTCCTTGATGAGTAAAATACTGGAATACAGTATTTGACTACCTTTGGACTTGGAATATTTTAGGATTTTTTCGTTGTTTTAAAAAAATAAAAAAATAAAAACGAAACATGAAAAACTTTATGATGATGAGGCCGATGCCTGAGAAACACATTTATTATTTTTTTAGCCTTGAGTAACCATAGAAACAAGGGCAACACATTAAAAATATTTTAAGAAGTTTAATCTATTTTCTTTTTATCAGGATACCCAAATGAAAAGTCCAACTGTGACTGGACTGAAGAGAGGTTTGACAATGTCATTCAGTTGAGACAAGAAGCCCTTGACGATGCTCGGAATGTGTGGGCCGACTATCTGTTTGTGAGTACTATATGACAAGGGCAGCATTCACAAGGTCACCGTTAGTGGAGTTCCGATAACTTGAAATTATCGAACGATTTCGCCCCTCTCTTATCCCTGAGAAAATATTTTTATCTGAGTTTTTTTCACTAATTGTCGTACTTGGAGAAAAAGCTCAGTATCTTTTCTTCAAAAAGAAAGGTTACAACTAAGTATATATTTTTTAATTTGTTAGGTGTGATCTAGTTTTACTGAACATGCTGAAGTTAAAATTGAAAAACAATAGTGCTAAACGATTAATTGTTATTATAGATTGGTTGGGAAATTGTGATGATAGATTGGTTGGGATGAGCCAATCATTAATTATGATTGTACAACCACTTGCTCTTTGGTACAAACAAACAAACAAACAAACAAACAAACAAACAAACTGTGGTGGTTGTTGACAGATGCTGGATGCGGATGTGATGCTGGAGCACAACCAGACCCTCCAGCTGCTGATGGCCCAGGACAGGTAGGTTCTACACTAATTATGCTGACCCATTGTATGTATGGAAATACAGCACAGTTAACCTGTGAATAATGGTTAAAATTCTTGTTTACTCTTTCATGCATATGTTTAGTAATATTGTATAGTGAAAAAATTAGATTGAGCTAATTAATTTAAAAAAGCCCAGTTTTTTTCATGTTTGTATCTCCATTCTATCATAATATATACCTGGATCCATTTACATAATTCTAAAAATACCTGTCCAATCAAATTACAAATTGAAACCAGCTGTCAAGAAACAGTTAATGGCATTAGAACTCTTTTGTCTTAGTAATCACAAAAAACATCTTTTCTATGAGGAACATAATTTATGTTAGTCTCCTGATGCAATTAATGGTATCCTACAGTTCCTCCATCTTGTACCTTCAGAACAGTGATCGGCCCGATGCTGAACACCAGCGTTGACGGCATCTACTCCAACTTCTGGGCAGGGATGAGCAAAGATGTGAGTCACGAAGCTTCTCTACTAAAAACCGCCTCGGTGGACTAGTAGAGCGTCCCCCCGGAGAGCGGAAAGTCTGGGGTTCAATCCCCGGCCGCGTCATACCAAAAGATGTTAAAAGTTGGTACTTGTTGTTACCCTGTCTGGCACTTGGCATTTAGGGCCTAAAGCAAGGACTGGTTGGCTCGGAGGCAAAATATGTTAAAAGTTGGTACTTGTTGTTACCCTGCCTGGTGCTCGGCATTAAGGGGCTAAAGCAAGAACTCGTCTGCTCGGAATCAGTATACTGTGTCTTAGTGGGGATATTCATGTTAAACTGCGGCATGGTACATCAGCGGGCTAGCACTATATAATCGGCACTAGTCCAGACTAGTACAAGCAGCCTCACAAACATGTGCATGCACATCGCTATATAAGTGCAATAATCTTGGACGCGACGTTAAACCCCATTTCACCTCACCTCTCTAGTGAAAACGTACATATTGCGGGACATGTACTGCATGCCTGTGTGTTGAAACTAGTGATGCAACAAGGATACCTGATATATCGCTCACTCACTCACTCACTCACTCACTCACTCACTCACTCCCACATCAAACAGACACACTGTGATATATCGGAAATACTGTTCAAAGCAGTGTTAAACCCAACTCACTCACTCACTCACTCACTCACTCCCACATCAAACAGACACACTGTGATATATCGGAAATACTGTTCAAAGCAATGTTAAACACAACTCACTCACTCACTCACTCACTCACTCACTCACTCACTCACTCACTCACTCACTCATCAAACAGAAATCACTTACAAATAAAGTGGTAATGTCTGTGTCTTGCATCACCTGCATCACGTCACTTTCCTCCTACATTAAGCAACCGCCTCCATGGTAGAGCGTCCACCCCGAAAGCAGGTCTTGGGTTCGACCCCCGGCCGCATCATACCAAAAGACGTTAAAAGTTGGTACTTGTTGTTACCCTGCCTGTCGCTTGGCATTTAGGGCCTAAAACAAGGACTGGTCGGCTCAGACTGTGTCTGAGTTGGGTATTCATGTTAAACTGCAGCATGGTTTCTCGGGCTAGCACTATATAATCGGCACTTGTCCGACTAGTACAAGCAGCTGCACACACACACATGCATGCACGTTGCTGTATATAACTGGAATACTGTTCAAACCGGCGTTAAACCCAACTCACTCACTCACTCACTCACTCAATGTTTTGTCTTTCAGGGGTTTTATAAAAGAACACCGGAGTACATTCCGATAGTTGACCGAGAGAAGCTTGGAGTGTTTCCTGTACCCATGGTGCACTCTGCCGTGTTGGTCGACCTCCGGCACAAGGTCACAGAACAGTTCTCGTACTCTGCACCTCCCAAAGATTATAACGGCCCCACTGATGACATCATTATCTTCGCACATACTGTCAGACACGCAGGTAGGAGGATGAAGGCAGTTTGTTTGTTTGTTTGTTTGTTTGTTTGTTTGTTGTTTAATGCCGCTATATGATCCACGCAATTGGGATACGATGGCATGCATTAACCAAGTCATCAAGCCTGACCTACCGATCCTGTTAGTCTCCTTTTACGACAAGCATAGTCGCCTTTTACGGCAAGCATGGGTTGCTGAAGACCTATTCTACCCCGGATCTTTATGAGGACAGTAAACCCTTCGAAGGCTTATAGCTGCTTGATGATCAACCTACATAAGATAGCTATTCTATACATTGCAAAGAACATGTAGAATAAAGCATGGTTTATTTTAGCATAAAACATTGTTCTATAATTTCTGCTCGCAACTTGATATCGTAAAATGGGAGATGTTGTTATTGAGAACCTTGCTTGTCCCACACATAGTTTTCTCAAATATTTTCTGATTAATAAATTTCCGGAGGTCTGTATTCTGGATAAGCTGATTTCGACTGTACATGTTTTGATGAAAAAAGGATCTTTTGCATCATATTTTAACACCAAACCCTAAAAATCTGTAAACCTTGCTATGACAAGCTATTACTTGCTATAATTAGACATGCTAATAGTGGCTATTTAGTGATTATTTTAAGTTACTGATTTTTGGTCTCAATTATGCTGGTTATTTCTTATCTCTCTTAATCCAGTGTATCCTAACATCTGTCATCGACTCTTGTTTGTTTGGCCAGGTATAAGCTTCCATGTGATGAACTCGGAATACTTCGGGACAGTGCAGGTGCCCATGGATGAGTCGTACTCCTTGGAGTTTGAGAAGGACCAGTTTACTCACACAAAGCTGGAGGCTATGGGTGAGTGTTCCCTGTATCATGTCAAACCCCCATAACCCAGACACCTTTATTCTGGATGTTCAGTGAGACCCCTGTAAGCCAGACACTTTTAGTCTGAATGAATAGTAAAAACCTCTGTATTCCAGACACCTTTACCCCGGAGGTGCAGTAAAACCCCCATAATCCAGACAACTGAATTGTGATTGTACAATGAAACCCCAATAAACCAGACCATTTTAGTCTAGATGTGTATGGAAACCCTCGTAATCGAGACACTTTTATTGTGGATGTACAGTGAACCCCTTGTTATCCAGACACCTTTATTGTGGATGTACAATGAAACCCCAATAAACCAGACCATTTTAGTCTAGATGTGTATGGAAACCCTCGTAATCGAGACACTTTTATTGTGGATGTACAGTGAACCCCTTGTTATCCAGACACTTTTATTGTGGATGTTCAGTGAACCCCTTGTTATCCAGACACCTTTATTGTGGATGTACAGTGAACCCCTTGTTATCCAGACACCTTTATTGTGGATATACAGTGAACCCCTTGTTATCCAGACACCTTTATTGTGGATGTACAGTGAACCCCTTGAAATCCAGAACCTTTATTCTAGATGTACAGTGAACCCCTTGTAATCCAGACATGTTTATCGTGGATGTACAGTGAACCCCTTGTAATCCAGACATGTTTATCGTGGATGTACAGTGAAACTCCCATAACCCAAACACCTTTAGTCTGGATATACAATGACACCCCATATTCCAGAACCTTTATTATGGATGTACAGTGAACCCCTTGTAATTCAGACACCTTTATTATGGATGTACAGTGAACCCCTTGTAATTCAGACACCTTTATTATGGATGTACAGTGAAACCCTTCTCATCCAGACTTCAGTCTGGATAGTGAGTGAGTGAGGGAGTGAGTTGGGTTTAACGCCGCTTTTAACATTATTCCAGTTATATCACTGCATGTCAGCTTAATGTCGTAGGAAAGCCCGAAGTGATGCAGGTCTCAGACATTTACCACTTCGGTGAAACCCACGAGCACGGGTATGGTGCTGACAAACCTAGAAACATAATTGAAGCGAACTGGGGTTCGAACCCACAATCATAGGTTTCTGGCATGCCCAAGGGACGCAACTCTGCACAGCGAATTGTGGCACCTTGGATGACTGGGCCACCCGTGCCCCCCAGTTTGGATAGCTATTATATGTGCTAGTTACTGCACAGTGTGGAAGCTCACTACTTACTATTTATGAACTGAACTCCATTTATAACCATTATACTTACTGGTGTACTACTGGCTGTTATTTTGAGACCATTAAAAAATAATTAGAACACTGTTAACATGACAACATATACCCCACTTTTGATAGGGATATTTTCTTCAGCCTTCCATGATACAGAGCTCCAGATAATTTTTTTACCAATAGTTTTTACTTGAAGGTTTCTACTTTAATCGGGTTATTACATTTTTCATTGGGGAACCAATATTTTTCCACTCATTTATTCATCACTCTATTTGTTTTTTCCCAAAATGAGTAAGCATTTTGAGATTATTAAAAAAAATGAAAAAATCTTTCAAAAACGGTTCCAAATATAGGCTTGATTCAGAAAGTAAATTAATTCGTAATTGGGTTTCGGCGATTAGTTCCATTGTACACATGCTGTAAAAGCTTCATTGGCTTTTTACGTGTGTTGTTTTTATACATTTGAGTTTTCCATCAAAAGTGAAAGTAGTTGCGTTTTGAATAGTTTTTTTTGGGGGGGGGGGTATTTTTCGCTAACACGCTTCTTATCTGCAGCTCCGATGATACACAAAACTGACGGTTATAGCGAATTTAAAGGGACCACTTATTGTAGTTTATTATAACCATAGTTCGTTGTACATATTATGGGCATATGTGCAGCATATATAAGCAAATGTCCGCGACCAAACAAAAGTTTGTTATGTCCGTCAATTTGATATAAGTATGTTTGTTATAAATGTTGTTTAATGTATATTCATATAGAATGACATATCTTATCATCCCTATCAAAAGTTGAGTAACATAAAATGCTACCGGACGGAAAACTGATGTTCTTGATTCTTGGCAATATAATCGCTATGTGAGATGCTCAGTGAGATGCTCTCGTGTATATTGTTTCAGTGGAGGGTCCCGAGCTGTATCACTCTCCCCACGTCTCCCTGCCTAACATCCCTGCAGATATGCTGGGATTCGACCAGGTAACACACACTCTACTCACAGGGAAACACTATCTGAATGGACCCGTGAAGCTCCGGGGTAGAATAGGTCTTCAGCAACCCATGCTTGCTGTAAAAGCCGACTATGCTTGTCGTATAAGGCGACTAATGGGATCGGGTGGTCAGGCTCGCTAACTTGGTTGAATCATGTCATCGATCCCAATTGTGTGGATCGATGCTCATGATGTTAATCACTGGATTGTCTGGACCAGACTCGATTTTTTTCAGAACGCCGTCATATAGCTGGAATATTGCTGAGTGCGGCGTTAAACAACAAACAAACAAACTATCTGAATGTCTCCTGGAAGTAAGATGTACGACTTTATTAAAAGTATTTTGGGCATGATACTTCCCATTTTCTTCCCATCATTTATAAACGTAAAATTAATTAACGTCAACAAACCGTCAACTGTAATTACAGCATGTTGATCAGACCTCATCTTGGACGTACGACTGTGGAATTGTACATTTCTCGACCTGATAACACACACTTAATGTCTTTTGCAAATAGGCTTAACGCCTTTATTAAAAGTATGTTGGGAGTGATGCTTCTATTCAAATCAACCGTATAACTCACATCACCATGACCCCACAACAGGAATCTACATCATGTAGATTGGGCCTCGTCTTGGTGATTTGCCTTGAAATGTTGTAATTGATGTGTTTAGTATTAAGTCTGTCAACTTTGCTTTGTCAGCTGTCGTTATTGATGTTTACATCGTTGACAGGTGTATGTGATCAATCTACTCCGCCGTCCTGAACGGAGGCAAAGAATGATAGCGACGATGTACGACCTCGGGATCCAAGTCAAGTTTGTGGATGCTGTCGATGGAAAGTGTGTATGATTTACGTGTAGGAGAAACCATGTCTCCGAGGGATAACTAGAGATTGTAAACCCTCACATGAGGGTACGGCCCCCTCGGGACGTTCCTAAATGTGAGGGTTTACAATCTCTAGTAATCCCTCGGAGACATGGTTTGTCCAACTTATAAACCGACAACGTTTTTAATGAAATAACTGTAATAAAAACTCTCAAATGTATAACCTGTATCGGAGATGAAATATCGCCTGCAGTCGTGAACTCGGTTCAATGAAACTGGTGACCTCAGCACGTGGGTTTCGCAACAGGTGGTCAGGTTTGCTGATTTGGTTGATGCATGTAATCATATCCCAGTTGCATGGATCGATGCTCATGATGTCAATCACTGGATTGTCTGATCCAGACTCGTTAATTTACAGACCGCTGTCTTATAGCTGGAATATTGCTGAGTGCGGCTTTAAACAACAAACAAACAAAACATGTTGAAAGGCTGGAGTGATTCCCTGATTCCCTTCTCCATTGTATGCTGGGGCGGTCGGGTAGCCTAGTGGTTAAATCTTTTGCTTGTCATGCCTAAGACCCGGGTTCGATTCCCGACATGGGTACAGTGTGTGAAGCCTGGTGTCCCCTGCCGTGATATTGAGCAATATTGCTAAAAGCGGCGTAGTGTATTCCAGACACAATATGGCTTGATAGGGTAAATTAAATGGCTGTTGGCACCTGTCTGTTCATTCTCTACATCTCCAGGGCTCACTACTGGGTAAACCTACACTAACCCTGTATCCATGTACATGGTTCGTTCCATCTCAAATTATGTTCCCTTGATTTCCTTTAGCTATTTTTTCATGTCCATTACGGGGGCACGGGTGGCCCAGTCGTCTAAAGTGCTGCGATTCGCTGTGCCTAGTTGCGTCTCTTGGGCACGCCAGAAACCTATGATTGTGGGTTCGAATCCCGGTTCGCCCCGATTATGTTTCTCGGTTTGTCAGCACCATACCCGTGCTCGTGAGTTTCACCGAAGTGGTAAACGTCTGAGACCTGCATCACTTCGGGCTTTCCTCCCACATTAAGCTGACACGCCGTGATATAACTGGAATACTGTTAAAAGCGGCCTTAAACCCAGCAACGTTTCAATGGTCAGTAAAATGTTAATGAAAATCAAGGGTGGGTAATTTGAGATCGCGAGAACCACGGGAATGGGTCCAAGAATTAGTATAGGTTTACAGAAATGTGAGCCTTGAAAATGTAGAGGAGGCTGTCAGTTAGAAATACAGCAATCGTCTTGACTTGTTGTGTGAACAGGTGCCTAGTCATCTAATGTGCCACAATTTGCAAGAAACCTGTGTGGGTTCAAATCTTAATTCACCCCGATTATTATCCCCCGCCGCGCGAAAGCGCGAAGCGGGGGATATAGTATTCACGACTTTCCGTACGTCCGTCCGTCCGTCCCACCTGTTTGTTGCCGCGATATCTCAAGAACTAAACACTGGATTGTCTTCATATTTGGAACTATGGTGTATATACAGACTCCGCAGACACCAGTCGGTTTTGGTGACCTTGATCCCATTTTCAAGGTCACAGCAGACAAATCTGCTTTTAGAGTTGGAAAACGGTGTTGCCGCGATATCTCAAGAACTAAACACTGGATTGTCTTCATATTTGGAACTATGGTGTATATACAGACTCCGCAGACACCAGTCGGTTTTGGTGACCTTGATCCCATTTTCAAGGTCACAGCAGACAAATCTGCTTTTAGAGTTGGAAAACGGTGTTGCCGCGATATCTCAAGAACTAAACACTGGATTGTCTTCATATTTGGAACTATGGTGTATATACAGACACCGCAGACACCAGTCGGTTTTGGTGACCTTGACCCCATTTTCAAGGTCACAGCAGGCAAATCTGCTTTTGGAGTTGGAAAACGGTGTTGCCGCGATATCTCAAGAACTAAACACTGGATTGTCTTCATATTTGGAACTATAGTGTATATACAGACTCCGCAGACACCAGTCGGTTTTGGTGACCTTGACCCCATTTTCAAGGTCACAGCAGGCAAATCTGCTTTTAGAGTTGGAAAACGGTGTTGCCGCGATATCTCAAGAACTAAACCTCTCGATTGTCTTCATATTTGGAACTATGGTGTATATACAGACACCGCAGACACCAGTCGGTTTTGGTGACCTTGACCCCATTTTCAAGGTCACAGCAGGCAAATCTGCTTTTGGAGTTAGAAAATGGTGTTGCCGCGATATCTCAAGAACTAATCGCTGGATTGTCTTCATATTTGGAACTATAGTGTATATACAGACACCGCATACACCTGTCAGATTTGGTGACCTTGACCCCATTTTCAAGGTCACAGCAGGCAAATCTGTTTTTGGAGTTGGAAAACGGCGTTGCCACAATATCTCAAGAACTAATCGCTAGATTGTCTTCATATTTGGTACTATGGTGTATATGGCAGGGGATATTTCGTCACTCTGTGACAAATACTTGTATTTCTAGGTTTGTCAGCACCATACCACTGGTGGGTTTCACCGAAGTGGTAAACGTCTGAGACCTGCATCACATCAGGCTTTCCTCCCACATTAAGCTGACACGCCGCGAAATAACTGGAATACTGTTCCAGCAGCGTTAAAGCCCAACCCTACAGCACATGTTCTGTCATTCAGTTGTAATGTTGGATCACAAGAAGTCAACACATGAAAGCGAAAAACATTGATTTCCATACAAAAAATAAACATCATTCATTGCCATGATTGCTTTGCTTTCTTTGGGGAAGTTTTACTAAGCTTTGTTACCGTTACCATGGTTACCTTATCTCTTCACATAGGCCTAATACAATGTTATATTCATATGACAGTGTTATCTGATGTGGGACATAATTGAAGACCATGGCTTCACTGATCGAAGATCTGGGTTAGAATTGGTCTTCAGCAGCCCATGCTTTCCATAAGAGACAACCAATAATCGCGTGGTTTGACTTGCTAACTTGGTTGATGCATTAATCCCAATTGCATGCTCATGATGTCGATCAGTGGATTGTCGGGTCCAAACTTGATTATTTACAGACCGCCGTCATATAGCTGTATTATTGCTGAGTGTGGCTTTAAACAAACAAACAACATAATTCTTTGCACACTGTGATGTGTTTCAGGCAGCTCAACGACACCTACATGGACAGTCTGGGTATAGATATGTTGCCAGGATACGCGGACCCATACTCACACAGGTAAGCAATGTTGTACTTTTTTCATGACCTGCATGATTTCCTTATAGGACATGCAAGTTCTGCAGTTACTTCCCCTAGCTATGACAGGATACACTGCCCATACTCACACAGGTCAGCAATTTTGTACATTCTTCATAACCTACATGATTTGCTTATATGATATGCAAGCTCTGCAGTTACTTCCCCTAGCTATGACAGGATACACTGCTCATGGGTTTGAATTCCTCATTCCCTGCTCTGGTTGTGCTTGTGGTTTTCACTAAGGTGCTGACAACATGTGGATCGTCTTCTCGCACTAAGCTGAAGTGCTGTTTTTAAACATAAATACTACAAAGTTGCTAAGTAAGTAGAAAGAAAGTACCTAAGCGTAGTACCTTCAGTTGATAATAAGTAATTTAGAAATTTGTTTCATTTTTATGAATTCAGTGAATTCAGTGATGCCATATTGAAACTTGATTCTTTAATTGCTGTTTATGTTTCAATCATATGCTCACTGCCAAAAGAAATGCTTACCATAGAAACATATATAAAGAAGTATGTACGTTAAGAAGAGATGTTTCCAATGTGTACCACTTAATGACAAAACAATCAGTCAAGTGTCACCACAGAGTGTCTTCATTCTTATCACGAATATGCTGCACGTGATTTCCAAACTTTACATGCTAATCCTGCACGAGACAAATGGTGCATCTTGAGTCATGGATCTATGACGTCACATGTGATGCGTTCATTAGCGTCGGTTCACACAACATAACAGTATGTTCGTTTGTGCATCAAACGAATCTAAGGTCTTATGAATATGAGTAATTCTTCATTTAATAACCATCATGTACGATATTTGTGTCTCTGTTGTCGATGAGTATAGTTTACAGTGTGGCAATGTCCAGATCAGTCCCAACTCAGAGCCTTGAGTGAAGGATTATCAACTCAACTTGTGGTGCGATGTTACTTGGATGTTTAAGGTGGCCATGTGCAAACATGTTTCTTCATTTTCCAGAGCGCTGACACTGGGAGAGATTGGGTGTTTTCTGAGTCACTATTTTATCTGGGTTGAGGTAGGATACAGTGTCTACCTGTCTGTCTGTCTGTCTGTCTGTCTGTCTTTGTCTGTCTGTCTGTCTCTGTCTATCTGTCTGTCTGTAATTTGTCTGTCTGTCTGTAATTTGTCTGTCTGTCTGTCTGTCTGTAATTTGTCTGTCTGTAATTACAGACATGATGGCTTTTGTCTTAATAATCACAGAAGATGGCAGTGTATCCAATGTTTCAGTAATCACAGACTAAAATGTCCATTGTTTCAGTAATCACAGACAGAAATATCAAATGTTGCAGTAATCAGACTAATGTATACACAATGTCATTATAATTTGATCTTTTCCTCCAATATGAAACCTTTCTGCATGAGGTGTAATTTAATGAGATTGAACATATTCAATGTTTCAGATGATGGAAAAGGGATATGAGCGTGTTCTAGTCTTCGAGGATGATGTCAGATTTGAAGCCTATTTCCGAAAGAAGTTTGCGTACATGCTGAAAGAAGCACAGGACTACGTGCCCAGCTGGGAACTCATGTACGTAGGCAATCTGCTTGATTGAAATGGATAAGCCTTCCATTTTATTATCCCCAACCACAAAGTGGAAGGGGGATGGATATAAGAATGGGTGCTGTCTGTCCTTCCTTCGTCTGTCACATTTCGTTTCCGGAGCAGAACTCAAAAACCATGAGAGATATCTTAATCAAATGTTGCACATTGAAAGGTCTAGTGGAGAACTGGTGCCTTTTGATAGTTTTTTTTTTTTTTTAAATTTGTTTTTCTTGTTTCCATAACAATGATTTTGACTTGGACTGAAAATGGTGGTTGTGCTCTTTCCCAAAGAAGATCTTGAAAACCGTACAATATTTCTTCACCAAACTTGGTACAAAGATAGGTCTAGTGGTACACTGGTGCCTTTTGATAGTTTGGGATTTATGAAAATATTTTTTGTGTTTCCATAATAACAACTTGGACTTGGACTGAAAATGGTGGTAGTGCTCGGTTCCGGGGGGCTTATGCCTTGCACACAACCAAACATGTCATGTTGGCAGGGGATATGAGTATTTCATGCTTATTTGATTATGTTTAGGTACATTTTATACTTTTTGTTCCTCTGCTCTGCCGTATGCAAGGGCAGAAAGAATCTGTGGTCTTACAAATAAAAATATAAAGGCCTGATGTGTGTTGCCCTGTTCCACACAGCGATCTTAGTGCGAAGTTGTTTGTAAGCCTGTGATAAAGTATGGGAGTTATGACCAACTTAGCACTAAGATCACTTTGTGGAACAGGTTCCTGATGTGTGTTGCCCTGTTCCACAAAGCGATCTTAGTGCTACGTTGATCGTAAGCCTGTGATAAAGTATGAGAGTTACGACCAACTTAGCACTAAGATCACTTTGTGGAACAGGTTCCTGATGTGTGTTGTAGCTACCTTGGCCGGAAGATTCTACAGAGTCGGCAGGAGTACCTAGTGAAGGGCACAGAGAACCTGGTGTGGCCCAGCTACTCCTACTGGACACTCAGCTACATGCTGCAGCGGTCCGGCGCCAAGAAGCTGCTGGACCAGAAGCCCCTCGGCAAGATGATCCCCGTGGATGAGTTCCTGCCCATCATGTTCGACAAGCATCCAGAGTACGTGGTCCTCTACTTCAGGCAGGACTCTGATGTGTCGCTGGTTTCTCATCAATGATGGGTTGTTTTTGTTTGTTTGTTGTTTAAGGCACACTCAGCATTATTTCAGCTCTTGGTTAAGGTGACGGTTGTCATATATGAATATGTTGTATAATGGATTCAGGAAATGTAGAACAAGGGTTTTAATTCACACAGAGCACATACATACATGCTTGCAGACATATTGGAACTCCCCCCCCCCCCCCCCTTTCTTACTCCCTAACTGAAGAGTACATTTTATAACATAAGCTGTCCGGAGTTATCTCCCCTAGACCATACCATCAACACATTAAGCCGCCCGGAGTTATCTCCCATAGACCACTACATTAGGTGTACATAAAGACATAACAGAATAATAGAGTCTAGACCAGAGAATTCAGTGATTGATGTCATGAGCATTGATCTACGTAGCTGGTATACGATGAAGTGCATCATAGTTTTCCAGTTATAAATTTACTGGTCCCCTGGACCGGCAGCAAGTAAAAATGCTTGTATATTCTATATTTTGGACTGATAGGGTTAAATTTTACCGTTAAATTCCTGGCAATTACTGGTAAACGGAAACACAGCATCAACCTTGTCATTGAATCTGACTGCCCGATCCTGTTAGTCTCCCCTTTCAACAAACATGGGTTGCTGAAGATCCTTTCTAACCCTGATCTTCATGGTGCAGGGATCAGGGTTCTGATCAATGGTGGGTTGTCCGATACGTGGATTTATTGTACATTCCCTTTGTCATGTGTTGTTCACAAACTGTTCTATCAATTTGAGGTCATTACTGCCGGGGTACGAGGTAACACAGTCACTGAAGGTGCTGCGGAGTGACTGTGGAGAGTTGTGTCCCTTTAGGAATGCCAGAATCTTATGAACCTTTGATTAATCATTATGATTCTTGGTGTGTCATCATACATACAGGGGCGGTTAAAGCGTTCACTTGTCACGCCAAAGACCCGGGTTCGATTTCCCACATGGGTACAATGTGTGAAGCCGATTTCTGGTGTCCCCCGCCGTGAAATTGCCGGAATAAAGCAGCGTAAAACCAAACTCACTCACTCATCATACATACATGCTATGCTATGTAAATTAGCTTAGAGTTATTCCCCCTTAGCTCTTTATTACTTCCCCTGTTCCACAAAGGATGTAAGAGCTGTGACTGTTGTAGCTCCCATCTATATATTACATAGACTTACATACCCGTGAAGATCCGAGCTAAAATAGGTCTTTTTTAACCTATGCTTGCTGTAAAAGGCGTATGTTTGTCCTATGAGGCGACTAACAGGATCGGGTTGTCAGGCTCTCTGACTTGGCTGATGCATGATCCAATTGCATGGATCAATGTTCATGATATTAATCACTGGATTGTCCTGTCCAGACTTGATTATTTACAGACCGCCATCACATAGCTGGAATATCGCTGAGTGCGGCGTTAAACAACAAACAAACAAACAAACATCAAATAAAAGAGGGTGGTGCCCAGTCAAGACGATCAGAGCAAGATATGTATTGTACTAAAACGGGTCTTACTTCGTGAAGTACATCTATTCACGTGAGCAGCTCCATTAAGAAAATGAAAAGATTTGCAAATCCTGCAATCGACTATGCATGGACTCATTAGTCCAGCCAAAATATAACTCCATAATTCCAGTCTAGTTCGGTAAGGGTGGAAACTGGGCTTTATAGTCAGTTATCTCCCTTGCCTAGGGAAGATGGGTAAAACCCCATTTCTCCTCACCTCACATAGTCTTACAGTAGTCATAAGAGTTCGAAATTAACATGAAAGTCAAGGGGTCAGTGGCATAACCCGGATGTTCAAATTAAAGGTTAACCGTAGGCAAAGACCTCAAGGACCACAGGATCCCCTTACTTTTCACAAGACCCGTAAGGATTCTGGGGTAGAATAGGTCTTCAGCAACCCATGCTTGCCATAACAGGCAACTATGCTTGTCGTAAAAGGCGACTAACGGGATCGGGTGGTCAGGCTCGCTGACTTGGTTGATGCATGCCATCGATCCCAATTGCGTAGATCGATGGTCATGATATCAATCACTCGATTGTCTGGTCCAGACTCGATTCTTTAATTGACCGCCATCATATAGCTGGGATATTGCTGAGTGCGGCGTTAAACAACAAACCAACCAACCAACCATCCAACTTTTCACAACTGGTCGTACTAAGATCTCTCAGTGGAAGTGGTCCCTGGAAAATGAGAAATTCAGCTCCCTAAAAAACCTATTCTGCTTGCAGGCATGACTGGCGCCTACAGTTTGAGCCTAGGAACCTGGTAGGGCTGTCTGCTGACCCGCTTCTCGTCTTCCCCACCCACTACACCGGTGAGGAGAACTACATCAGCGACACTGAGGTGTCCAACATCATCCCCACAGAAGACATAGAGGATAAACCTGGCGTGGACACTATCCCTACTATTGAGGACACGGCCAAGTGTAAACCCCCTGAATGTATCCACGATGAGTTTTGAGGAAAACAGTTTAGGAAATCACTTCATTTAGGTAATGATGAATCTCCATCCAGCGGATCCAGAACCATACAAACTATGTATTACAAAACATGTCACTAAGTCATCTGATGATTTCAAGAAAGATACCAATTAATTGACTTATTTTTGGCTAACAAACACAAATTGTATCCTGTCTTTGAAGGCATTTAGAAGTGATACACATAAGGAAGAGAATTTATGGATTTCTTTATTATGAGGAACACTACGTTTCTGTGTATATGCTTACTCCTTCATCACCGTAACATCACCTGATGAAGGAGTAAGCATATACTCCGAAATGTTGTGTTCCTCATAATAAACATAAAGAAGTTGACATCCATTAATTCTCTTCTGTCAATTGTATCCTGATATTATTCCATTCTTTTTCGTATTTTGTGTGCACTTGACTGGCGGGGGGGGGGGGGGGGGGGGGGGGAATGGATGCAGTAAATATATCACTGTCCAGTATTATTTGTACGTCCATTTGACCAGTGGACATCCAAAAGTTATTCAGCACAAATTTAAGACCAGAATGAATTTATATTTTTAACAAACTGTTCAAGGCATCTGTAGAATAATTGTTGAAAGTGTTATTCGCCGGATGCATAACATTACTGGTAAGCCAGGTTAGGTTGAACCAACTCACAAAACTTGTTTGAGACAAGTATGCAGTGAACAGAATATGGGCAAACCTATTCAGTGTGTTACAGGTAGAGTGGATGTACGCTTGTTGTGGTAGGTACATGAATGTCATGACGATGAAATTGACTACGCTCCGGTAGACACACGTGTTGCTCATAAGACTAATAAGAGGTCGGTGTGACATGTCGATATCATCATTCTTAGCCGAGAAATGCACATACACATCGTACCACTTGTCGAGGCCCAGCCGCCCCCCCCTGTCTTCATAATGGTACGAGCCAGTGGGTGGACCTCAAACATAGTTATTCTGGGTCAGGTCACAACTCAACTAGGGGCAGTCGGGTAGCCTAGTGGTTAAAGCGTTCGCTCGTCATGCCGAAGACCCGGGTTCGATTCCCGACATGGGTACAATGTGTGAAGCCCATTTCAGGTGTCCCCCCGCATTGATATTGCTGGAATATTGCTAAAAGCGGCGTAAAACCAAACTCACTCACTCACTCACTCACTCACAACTCAAATTATCTTGGCTTCCCAGTAGGTATTTCATATGTAGTCCAACAACCAATTTCACTTTTTCAGAGTCACCACTCACCAGTATATATAAAAGGGAAAAGAATCTCTTTTCAACTCTAAATATTTTGTATTTAGAACATGTAGAATATATATTGACTAGTGTAGATCTATAGCTAGTTAGTCTCTCATTTGTTTTAAGCTGTTCATCCGTCCATATTGACACTGTAGGATGAATATGTGATTTGTTAACATTTTAACCCAATTTGCTTTCAACAGCTACAATTAATAACATGATATATTACAGTAAATAGCATATGTATTACCAATCTGCCAAAATAGCTATTTAATAACATATACATGGTTGTCACTTTCTATATATAGTTTAGGAGGAGCAATCTGCGATGAATGTTATGTATTGTGATTTTGTGTCCGTGAATATTGATGTCCGAGGTTGATAGTTTGTTCTCTCACTGCCAACATGTTTTTTAACCAAGATGTCAAAAAAGATTCATTGTAGTCAAAATACTGTGTATGACATATTAAGCCTGTAGGGTACATGAAACGACCTCGATAGGATGAATGCTCATTAAATACTTTATAAACTTCCCAAGACAAAATCGTCACGCCGAAGACCCGGGTTCGATTCCCGACATGGGTACAATGTGTGAAGCCCATTTCTGGCGTCTCCCGCCGTGATATTGCTGGAATATTGCTAAAAGCGGCGTAAACTCAAACTCACTCACTCACTCCCAAGACAAAATAAAGTATACAATTGAAAATTGGATTTGACAAAGACTTTACAAACAATATCAAAATGTTCCTAGGCTGAAAATAGTCGCTGAAACTTTGCAAGCTCAAGGTCCAAAACACCACTATGGTATCAAATACATCACCAGCATTGTTTTAAAGTATTAGGATTTTTAATTTTTAAGAAAAATGGAAATAAAAACGAAATGTGCGGCACTTTCTGATGATGCCCGCGGTACCTGAGAACCAAGACTTTTATTTTTTTTAGCCCATAGGACAGCATTTATCAGAGCAGGACCCTTAATATGTTTACACAGGTATGTAGTTTAGCTTAGCTTGCTCAATCAGAGAAATGTGTTCATATATATACATGCATCAGTGTTCTATGGTAGAATTTATTCATTTGTGTTCATTTTATTTGACATTATGCATCTGTTCAGTGGTTATTGTCACCCTGTATTATTCTAGACTTCTCAGCACCATAATACCCGCGCTGTGGTATAACTGAAATATTGTTCAACACAGTGTTAAGCCCAACTCATTCAATCACTATGTAGTATTTTGTAGTTTCATTTACCAGGAATGGTGGGAATGCAAGCGTTGCACAAAGTAAGTCGCTGTACAGAGTTGCCTCCCTTAGCCATACCAGTAACTACTGTGCTTTTGAATCCAAGTTCATTAGTCTGCAAGCACCATTTCTGTTGCCATGGGTCTCCGAACTGTGTTACCTGGGACTTTCGGCCAACAAGCGGAGTCTATGATGTAACTGCTATACTGTTATAAATGGCCAGTCAATATAAACATCCCATTTTATATGTTTTTGGTATGTATTTCTTTGTTCATGGGGCAGTTGGGTAGCCCAGGGGTTAAAGTGTTCATTCATGCCACCGAGAGTTGTGCAGTTGCCCACATAGGTACAATGCAGCCTTAGAGATTCATCTTGTTTATCCTTGTCCTGCAATCTCATTAAAATCAGATCTTAGTTTTCGCTACCGCTAAACAAAGATCTGAGGACATCCCATTAAGGGTCACGTCAGAACGACCTTTCATCCGACCAATAAGAGCGTCGCTTACCAGATCATGAAAGTGACAGTCGGAATGTGATTTCTAATCATGCACCCTAGAAAACTTAAACACAGGGTATTCCGAACGATAGTTACTCGCCAATTTGAAATTAGTGCAGTAAAGCATGAGAAAGCTGCCTTCTGACTGGCTAATGTCGACATCTTCTCAGTCATTCCATTGGTCGGTCAAAGTTCGCGAAAGGTCGTTCTGACGTGACCCGTAATGGGATGTCCTCAGATCTTTATTTAGCGGTAGCGAGAACTAAAATCTGATTTTAATGAGATTGCCTTGTCCTGCTTCAGTGTGACAAAAATGTTTTCTGGGTTTACTTTTTCTGTCAGTTTTATTCATCTCCAATTGGTGGCAAGATTGAAGCTTTGAGAACTGGTTCAAATTTACAGCCCTCAAATGGTACCAGTCAGTGAGGACTACCAGCATTGAATTAAACTGATCCTCAGCACATTTGGTGGTCATTTACTAGCGAACAAATGTGAACTTTGAAGGCTGCAATGTGTGAATATTGTTACTAGTGTTGTAGAACCGTGAGACCTACTCGTTAAACCGCCTCTACATGTTCTGTGAGCAAAGTAATATTTCTTTGTTTGTTTGTTTGATAATGCACTGAGCAATATTGCACTGTATGGAGACGGCCTGTGAATATTCAAGTCTAGACCAGACAATCCTGTGACTGATATTAGGAGTAAGGATCCACGTTGTCAGGGTACATGCAATCAACCAACTCACCCAGTCGGACCACCAGATCCATATAGTCATCTCTTATGACCAATCTCATTAAAATCAGATCTAAGTTCTCACTTCCACCAAACAAAGATCTGAGGACATCCCATTACGGGTCACGTCAGAACGACCTTTCGCGAACTTTGACCGACCACTGAAACGACTTAAAAGAAGTCGACATCATCCAATTAGAAAGCAGCTTTCTCGCACTTGTTTCAATGTTGCGACTTCCATTTCAGACTACGCTTGAAAAATATGTTGACACAGTTCTTGATTAAAATTTTTAAAACTGAACTATTGAACATTCCGGAATGTCACTTTCATAATTTGGTAAGCGACGCTTTGATTGGTCGGATGAAAGGTCGTTCTGACGTGGCCCGTAATTGGATGTCCTCAGATCTTTGTTTAGTGATAGCGAGAACTAATTTTGAGAATCTGATTTTAATGAGATTGCACTTATGACCAGCATTGATTTTGAGGATCAATTATCACCTGGTTCCTATGGGGGTCACAAAGGCTTAATTGTATTTGTTGGCTTTAGTTTGAAATCAAAAGTAATGTTCTGATATTGATTTAAACGGTTGTACAGTAACGAGTGTTTCATTGTGGCATTACTCTGAGTGAATGAGACGATAAAACAGAGTGTCATGTGGAAACTTTTGAATTTTATTGTTTTTGGAGTCAGTAATCTTTCTGTGACTATTAAAATATCTTTAGCTTATTTTAAAAAATATAATATTTCACTATTCTTTCTAGTTTTGAATCATCTGATGTAATATGAATTCAGTAAAAATTCCGAAAATATTTCTCAGAATAATTGATCAGAAATGGTTCATGAAATGGATTAGGTGAACCATGTTGGGCTATGTTTTAATGTTACCGTAATCGATGTAATAAGCGCCCAGGGTGCTCTCAAAATAAGAAATAGGGGGCTCTTAGCAGTGTTCGAAATACCTGCCTGCCCGACCGTCCGAGACGGGTTGATTTCAACTCGGGCTGCCAGATTTTCAAATCCCCCTGCCCGACGGTCGGGTTATATTTCATATGTGAAAATATTCAAAATATTTCCCGATGATAAGCATTAATTCACATGTAAAGATGAATGAGAAAATGTAACCAAAAAGAAACCCCGTTAGCTTATCCTGAGAAACATATGATTATAGTGGGCAGGCAGGTTTTGGTCAGGGCTGGCAAGTATTTCAGCTAGCCAGTCCTGTGGTCTGGCTGAAATTTTTGGGAGTTTCATACCCTGCTCTTAGTAAAATATAATTTAGGTGAAAGTTGAAAGATCGTAAATTTCGTGGTTTATGCTGACAGCCTGAAATGATACAAAAGAAAAGTCTGTGCATATCATACACGACACATGTTTTTTTCCAGAATTTAATTGCCCGTAATTAAGGGTGCATATAACACACGAGTGCATATAATACACAATCAAATAAGTCTTGTGTACATTGATCAATCGGAAGGGTGCTAATAGGGATTGTTCACTAGCCAATATATTAGCAAATATCGTCGTGGGCGCTTATTAGAGCGGGGCGCATTTATAATGCACCAGATTCCATTCACCAAGTGGATGCTCACAGCACTACACTATTATTACCCAGGTCAATAGATCAGTGAGCACTCGATTTTCATTCTCAGCTCCCTGGGGAGTACACAACCCAAGCTGCCTGTGAGGCTGTGTGCTGGTAGTAGTGATAATAAACCAGGTTAGGGACTGGTAGTACCGGTTTATGATGGGAATAAGCCGGTGAGATTAGGTAAGGTATGTGTTTGTGATGTGTGTTTGTACTCTATGGGGGGTAGGGGGTAGGTGACAGCATTCAGAATTGATACAGTTCTATTTTTGCAAGTCTTCAGGAAGTACATCCACATATATATATACGACAGTCCAGACCAATCCCACTGTCTCAAAGTCTCATAAATTACCAGTCCCTAAGAAAAGGACCATTTAGGCAAGCAACAAAAAAGGAAAATTTAATTTCAAGAATTTTATAAAAGTTATAAGAAGTGTCCATTTGACTGTGAATTAGAATTATTTATAAACAAAATGTAGAACTTAGTCTTACATGAAAATTCATAATTTTATACAAATTTAAAAAAAAAAGAGCAATTTTTTTACTCAGTTATGCAGATTTTCTAAGAGATCTCTGGTCACATACTCAATCATGGTTTGATTTTGTCTAGAAAATCAAAGGTTTTCGGTCTTAGCCACCTTTGATCGTGTCATATCTTAAAAACAAATACCTACGGGTGATACTGATAGGAAGAAATACTTTTGTTCTCAGTGATATGAAACATGTACAATTACTTGCATATTAATTTAAAGGTAAACTCATTATGTTTTATTGTTACCTGAGCTGTCCTTTTGCCAAAGTGTTCTTCATTATTCTTAGTTAGTTGTTCTAGTAGCAGTTAGTGTTTGTAGTTTTTTAGCTAATTCTCTTGCATGCAATTATTGGTGCTTGCTTGCTTGCTTCCCTGCAACATGGCTATGAAATATCAATTAACAGCACTGTTCCGTTGTATTTGTTTTGAAATGGAGACACACATTTAGTTTGGTTTTGTGTTCATGTATGATTATTGAGAATCTGTGGTGCTATTTTAACCAGTTATCGTATGTGAAACAAGGCACATGGCAATAAATTATTTTTACAATTTTGATTGTTATTTTTTATTGATTAGAAATGAAATACACAGGATTGGGATTTTATTACTAATATAAGTATTAAACATATTTAACATCCTTTTTAGAAAAACATTGTTTGCACCTCGCAGAGATACATAAATTCCCAATGTCAATGAAGGGTGCAGCGCGTTGGGAAAGAGCGTGGTGAGAAGGGAGACAACTCTCTGAACTCTCTACATCGGAGGTAATAATTTCAATGACAACAAGGAGTTGCCAATGTAAACATATTCACGTGCACAGTTCAATTTGAAGTCTGAAACAGTAGAATGGCAGGGGCAGAGCCGTTTGTTGATGCCAAATTAGCACAAAGAAAGGTGCTACTGTTTTCAAAGACATACTGCCCCGATTCTAAGACGGTGAAAGCGGTTTTAGAAGGATACAAAATGCCACCTCAAACATACGAAGTTGTGGAGATTGAAAAACGTCAAGACTGCAACCAGATAGAAAACTACTTCCAGATACTATGTCTGACTGACAGCAGAGCGGTAAGCATATCCCTTATTAAATATGCTATATCATAAAACATTTTTAAATGCAGTTTCCTAAAAAGTCGCTGAAACTGGAGAGTGGCGTGAACACGGACAGTATGTTACAGTACGTACGTACCCGTTGTTGTACGTCATTGATACGCTAATCGTCTAATCAACCATCGATTGATGAGGTTGCCTAAGCCCACATCTGGCTCTCCACCTAATTTGTCTTGGCATCCAATTTAAGAACGCTTAAATTATATCAGTGTACACAGCTTGTACCAGTAAATTCAACTGGAATCGATTTTCACATTACCATATACATCCACCAAAATTTATTCCTAAATATTTTATTGATTTGTCCCTCTTAGCAAGAAAAAACACGAAAAATAATTTCAACATTGAAATATTGACATCCTCATACCAGATAAACATTTCCAACATTTCTAGCATACTGCAATGTGGCACCGAAATGCCACGTAACTGGGCTCTCATTGGTGTTGCATGTTCATTATATTGGGTACCAAGGCTGCATAAGAGATAGTAAGTGTTTCTCAGGCACATTTTGTCTCAAATGTGAGGGGCAAGGAAGAAATTATTAATTTTTTATTTTGAAAACAAAAGTGACGCTCAAGAAACACTTATTTTTATTTATCACACGGTGAATACCAACTAACACAACAATCTTTTTAAACTTCAATCCTATTGCCAAATGGCTTGGTATTAAAAATTGAGTTCAAAATGTGTCCAGGGCCCACTTGCACAAAGCGATCTTAGCGCTAAGATGATCGTAACTCCCATACTTTAACATAGGCTTACATAGTCTTAGCGCTAAGATCGCTTTGTGCAAGTGGGCCCTGGACACATTTTGAACTCAATTTTTAATACCAAGCCATTTGGCAATAGGATTGAAGTTTAAAAAGATTGTTTTGTTATGATTGATGTATATGTCAATATAAGGCTTAAAGTTGTATTTGACATCCATCAGCTGATAACGACAGTGCCTCGTGTCAAGTGTATCGCATCTTCATTCTATGTATCATATAATCTATTATCATGATTATGACACACACCCTGCACCCATTTACCACTGTAACTCAGTGTCCAGTTTCAATGCAAGGATGGTAGAGACAGTTGTCCCATTAAATTGCACTGTTATTTCAGGGTTGAAACAAGACTTAGTGTCACCAGTATCAAACTGTCTTTTGCATAAGATCACACAAACAACTAGGAGAATAGTAGTAGCAGGATTCCCAACCCCCATCTTAGTACTCAGAAAAACATATTTTTTTTTTAGGCAAGGGAGTTAACCGACTCCTAAAGTCTAGTTCCCACCCTTGCCAAACTCGGCTGGAATTTTGGGCTTGATCATAGCGCCACCAGTGGATATCACGTTCAGAAGATGCATTCATGTTCATTTAAAACTCAACGATTAAATTTCTGTTTTAACCTGTTTAACCTAGAGATATGGAGATGACACGGTCACACCAAATCGAACCAAAGCTATGGTGGCTAATCGATTCAGGGTATCTAATCACAGTAGTATATATATTACCCTGGATGATTGAAGTTGAGCTGAAAAACATGAAGGAATGGAATAAAAGCGGAATTTGGCGGCATCTTTGTCTTAGTGTCTAGGCATCCTTGTCTTGGTGTCTTGGCATCCTTGTCTTGGTGTCTTGGCATCCTTGTCTTGGTGTCTCGACATCCTTGTCTTGGTGTCTGCATCCTTGTCTTGGTGTCTCGGCATCCTTGTCTTGGTGTCTCGGCATCCTTGTCTTGGTGTCTAGGTATCCTTGTCTTGGTGTCTCGATATCCTTGTCTTGGTGTCTCGATATCCTTGTCTTGGTGTCTCGGCATCCTTGTCTTGGTGTCTTGGCATCCTTGTCTTGGTGTCTTGGCATCCTTGTCTTGGTGTCTCGGCATCCTTATCTTGGTGTCTCGGCATCCTTGTCTTGGTGTCATGGCATCCTTGTCTTGGTGTCTAGGCATCCTTGTCTTGGTGTCTAGGCATCCTTGTCTTGGTGTCTCGGCATCCTTGTCTTGGTGTCTTGGCATCCTTGTCTTGGTGTCTTGGCATCCTTGTCTTGGTGTCTAGGCATCCTTGTCTTGGTGTCTAGGCATCCTTATCTTGGTGTCATGGCATCCTTGTCTTGGTGTCTAGGCATCCTTGTCTTGGTGTCTAGGCATCCTTGTCTTGGTGTCATGGCATCCTTGTCTTGGTGTCTAGGCATCCTTGTCTTGGTGTCTCGGCATCCTTGTCTTGGTGTCTCGGCATCCTTGTCTTGGTGTCTCGACATCCTTGTCTTGGTGTCTAGGCATCCTTGTCTTGGTGTCTCGACATCCTTGTCTTGGTGTCTCGGCATCCTACTACAGTCGTGCCCCGCTTATACTTCAGATATCCGGAAACCTCGGTTCCCGGACGATTTTCATTCAAAACGAAATAATTACTATATAAATTTACCCGTATATACGGAAATTCAGTTTCGGGAACCGGACGGTCATTTTCATACACAAAACACTGAAATGCACACAAAATTGTCTCACTTATCCGGACAATACACTTCTGCTGGTGGTGATCCTTTGATTCATGAGAAGTCAATTAACCAAGTGACACATTATTGTTTAAAATTCAAACCTCAAAATGTGGTAAAGTTCAAACTTCCATGACAGACTTTTTGAAACGTGTATGAATAAAGATTGAGTGGATGTATCTGTTTGTTCTGTCATCTGTCATGAGTTGCATTATTGAAGGGAAGTAACTCTTCCAGTAAGAAGCTGGTTTCAGTTATACGGAAATTCGTTTATACGGACGAATTGTGAAATGACGCAAGTGTCCATATAAGCGAGGCACGACTGTATTGGCATCTATTGTAAATGTTGATGACATTTTTTTGTTACCTTTCAGGTCCCCCAACTATTTGTGAATGGAAAATATGTTGGTGGCTTCAAAGAAATCACACGCTTTCATGAATCTGGGAGGTTGAAAAATCTACTGAAGGAGGCTGGTGCGGTGTGATGTGTAACAACAATACATCATAACTAAGCCAAAATGACTTCCACAGGCAAATAATTTCCTTCATATCTGCATTTGAAAAAGGATCTTGTACATATTAAATCATTTTAGTAGCATTGTTTCACATGTAATAAATATTACCGAAACCTTTGTAATGCATCTGTAGTAACTTAGAGTCACCAACGACTCACCATAATGGGTTTAATGCATTATCAACTGTATTCCTGTTATTTCAAGGTGTGTCTGTTTAATGTGGGAGGAAAGCCTGAAGTGACACAGGTTGTCATGTTACCACTTTGGTGAAACCCATGAGCACGGGCATGGTGTGGGCAGTCTAAAAATAATAATCAGGTCCGCAGCGGTTGCGGTTGACAAAGCGGTTGACAAAGGGACATACCGGTAACTCTGGACAGTGAAATCACCTGGGTTAACGAAGTTCCTGATGAATGTTACTTTGTTTGTTGTTTAATGCTGAACGCAGGAATATTCCAGGAATATGTCGCTGGCCTGTAAATATCCTAGTAAAAATAAACCAGACAATCCCGTGATTTATATTGTGAGCAACGGTCAACGCCAATGTGGTGGGTACAATGCTACACCATCAACCAACTCACTGAACCTGACTTGCTGATCTATTATGTTGCATCTGACAACCAGCATCAATCAATTTCTACCTGGACTAACTACAGGAGTGTTACCATGGTTACTGAGTAATGTCTTTGGGATGTTACTGACTAGACAAGGGACACCTTTCCAGCCATTGCATGGTGTGGACACCAAAGATTTGTTTAAAAAAATAATGAAATGACAACACACAATTTACAGTAAATAATGCTTTTATATACATCTAAATTATGTATCTTGATCATCTGACTTTGATACACAAAACATGATACAACACGAGATATCAATCATCTCACAACAATTTGTCTACCTTTCATAGTAAGGCTTCAAATTAGCATGTAGCCCAAGTAAACAGTTGTGTACAATCAACCTGGGAAAGGGCCTCCCTACATAAATGTATTCCTTGATAAGTAAAATACTGGAATACAGTATACAGTATTTAACTACCGTTGGACTTGAGGGATTCTTTTGGTTTTCTTAAAATGAAAATAAAAACAAAACGTGAGGCAGACTTTATGATCATGTGGGTGGTGCCTGAGAACCAAGATATATTATTTTTTTCAGCCTAATAGTTCCACATACTTTAAACATAATAATCACTTCTTCACAGGTGTGTATTCTGTGAACACATACAAGCCTGCTGTCCGACCAATGATTTTGGTTGGTTGGTTGGTTTGTTGTTTTACGCCACACTCAGCAATATTCCAGCTATATGACGGCGGTCTGTAAATAATCAAGTCTGGACCAGACAATCCAGTGATTAATATCATGAGCATCGATCCGCGCAATTGGGATCGATGACATGCATTAACCAAGTCAGCGAGCCTGACCACCTGATCCCGTTAGTCGCCTTTTACGACAAGCATAGTCGCCTTCTACTGCAAGCATGGGTTGCTGAAGACCTATTCTACCCCGGAATCTTCACGGGTCTAAACAGTTGTGTACAATCAACCTGGGAAAGGGCCTCCCTACATTAATGTATACCTTGATGAGTAAAATAATGGAATACAGCCATACAGTATACAGTATTTAACTACCGTTGGACTTGAGGGATTCTTTTGGTTTTCTTAAAATGAAAATAAAAACAAAACGTGAGGCAGACTTTATGATCATGTGGGTGGTGCCTGAGAACCAAGATATATTATTTTTTTCAGCCTAATAGTTCCACATACTTTAAACATAATAATCAATACTTCACAGGTGTGTATTCTGTGAACACACACAAGCCTGCTGTCCGACCAATGAGCGCTCAGATTACATCGGCAATATGTCTCATGCAACCTGCCCCGTGTCCTTGTGACCTCCACTCTGCACATTGCTTCAGTATCAGGCAATGGTAGGTTTTGCACAAAGTTCATCATGGAGTTACACACAGACACTTGGCCTTGTAGCGGATAGTCTGGGTCTTGAAGGATTCTTGCTTCGTTTCAGTCTCATTAAAATCAAATCTTGCTTGCTACTGCTACACAAAAAATCTGATTCTTGGTTCCAAATTTGAAAACTGAACAAAAATTTCTGGAATGTCTAATAGATGGCTGAGAATCTCAATGGGCTATGGAAAGTCTCTTCATTTTCAAATGTTTATCCCACTGAAACAACCGATACATGATGTCTAGCATCAGGAATCAGTCGTTCAGTCTGTAACAATCGTTTGGAATACCCTATGTGAACCTTTGAGGTTGCACGATTAGAAAACACATTCAGACTTTCACTTTCGTGAGCTTGTAAGCGACACTCTGATTGGTCGGATGAAAGGTCGTTCTATTGTGACCTGTAATGTGATGTCCTCAGATCTTTGTGTCGCCCTAGCAAGCACCAAGATATGCCTTTAATGAGATTTGCCTCGTTTGTATTTGCTTCTATCCACCAGGAAGGAACATCTAGGTCCCTTCCATTTCCAGCCTCTGACGAACCAGGTCGATTAATTCTGCCGTTACTTCTGGCTTCAACATTTCGCTTATCTGAAACAAACAACCACTATCTCAGAACAATCTGAAACAAACAACCACTATCTCAGAACAATCTGAAACAAACACCCACTATCTCAGAACAATCTGAAACAAACAACCACTATCTCAGAACAATCTGAAACAAACACCCACTATCTCAGAACAATCTGAAACAAACACCCACTATCTCAGAACAATCTGAAACAAACACCCACTATCTCAGAACAATCTGAAACAAACACCCACTATCTCAGAACAATCTGAAACAAACAACCACTATCTCAGAACAATCTGAAACAAACACCCACTATCTCAGAACAATCTGAAACAAACACCCACTATCTCAGAACAATCTGAAACAAACAACCACTATCTCAGAACAATGTGAAACAAACAACCACTATCTCAGAACAATCTGAAACAAACAACCACTATCTCAGAACAATCTGAAACAAACACCCACTATCTCAGAACAATCTGAAACAAACAACCACTATCTCAGAACAATCTGAAACAAACACCCACTATCTCAGAACAATCTGAAACAAACACCCACTATCTCAGAACAATCTGAAACAAACACCCACTATCTCAGAACAATCTGAAACAAACACCCACTATCTCAGAACAATCTGAAACAAACAACCACTATCTCAGAACAATCTGAAACAAACACCCACTATCTCAGAACAATCTGAAACAAACACCCACTATCTTAGAACAATCTGAAACAAACAACCACTATCTCAGAACAATGTGAAACAAACAACCACTATCTCAGAACAATGTGAAACAAACACCCACTATCTCAGAACAATCTGAAACAAACAACCACTATCTCAGAACATCTGAAACAAACAACCACTATCTCAGAACAATCTGAAACAAACAACCACTATCTCAGAACAATCTGAAACAAACAACCACTATCTCAGAACATCTGAAACAAACAACCACTATCTCAGAACAATCTGAAACAAACACCCACTATCTCAGAACATCTGAAACAAACAACCACTATCTCAGAACAATGTGAAACAAACACCCACTATCTCAGAACATCTGAAACAAACAACCACTATCTCAGAACAATGTGAAACAAACAACCACTATCTCGGAACAATCTGAAACAAACAACCACTATCTCGGAACAATCTGAAACAAACAACCACTATCTCAGAACAATCTGAAACAAACAACCACTTTCTCAGAACAATCTGAAACAAACACCCACTATCTCAGAACAATCTGAAACAAACAACCACTATCTCAGAACAATCTGAAACAAACAACCACTATCTCAGAACAATCTGAAACAAACAACCACTACCTCAGAACAATCTGAAACAAACAACCACTATCTCAGAACAATGTGAAACAAACAACCACTATCTCAGAACAATCTGAAACAAACAACCACTATCTCAGAACAATCTGAAACAAACAACCACTATCTCAGAACAATGCGAAACGAACAACCACTATCTCAGAACAATGTGAAACAAACAACCACTATCTCAGAACAATCTGAAACAAACAACCACTATCTCAGAACAATCTGAAACAAACAACCACTATCTCAGAACAATCTGAAACAAACAACCACTATCTCAGAACAATGCGAAACAAACAACCACTATCTCAGGACAATGTGAAACCAACAACCACTATCTCAGAACAATCTGAAACAAACACCCACTATCTCAGAACAATCTGAAACAAACAACCACTATCTCAGAACAATGTGAAACAAACAACCACTATCTCAGAACAATCTGAAACAAACAACCACTATCTCAGAACAATCTGAAACAAACAACCACTATCTCAGAACAATCTGAAACAAACAACCACTATCTCAGAACAATCTGAAACAAACAACCACTATCTCAGAACAATGCGAAACAAACAACCACTATCTCAGAACAATGTGAAACAAACAACCACTATCTCAGAACAATCTGAAACAAACAACCACTATCTCAGAACAATCTGAAACAAACAACCACTATCTCAGAACAATCTGAAACAAACAACCACTATCTCAGAACAATGCGAAACAAACAACCACTATCTCAGGACAATGTGAAACCAACAACCACTATCTCAGAACAATCTGAAACAAACAACCACTATCTCAGAACAATCTGAAACAAACAACCACTATCTCAGAACAATGTGAAACAAACAACCACTATCTCAGAACAATCTGAAACAAACAACCACTATCTCAGAACAATCTGAATCTTGATGGATTTAGAAATAATATAAAAGACAAATATTAAAAAAACATAAAAGTCACAAGTAGACCACTAAATTGATAAATGTGAAAATACAAATAGTTCATGAGTTATGTTCTGGAAACGAACCTTTCATCATGTTCATTGATAGGACCTTTTAGGTCCAACTTGTCATGGAAACCATGAAAAGTAACAATTTCCAAAATTCTAATAGAAAAAGAGTATCTAATAAATCTTAGCTGAGTATTAATCATGATACTAACACGCACAAACTCAAGCATGCTCAAAGCGCTAAATGGATCAGGGTGCACCTGATTTTCATTCTCAGCTCCCTGGGGATCATGCAACCCAAGCTGTCCATGAGGCAGTAGAAGGTTTACAGTCACAGTCTGTGAAAGTTTACAGCCTGATGTGTATGGTTCATTTGAATCAGTGAGTGAGAGAGTATGGTTTTAAGCCGCTTTTAGCAATATTCCAGCAATATCACGGCGGGGGACACCAGAAATGGGCTTCACACATTGTACCCATGTCGGGAATCGAACCCAGGTCTTCTGCATGACAAGCAAATGCTTTAACCACTAGGCTACCCGACCGCCCCAGCATACAATGGAGAAGGGAAACAGGGAATCACTCCAGCCTTTCAACATGTTTTGTTTGTTTGTTGTTTAAAGCCGCACTCAGCAATATTCCAGCCATAAGACAGCGGTCTGTAAATAAACGAGTCTAGACCAGACAATCCAGTGATTGACCACATGAGCATCGAACCATGCATTTGGGATACGATGACATGCAGAAAATGGGCTTCACACATTGTACCCATGTCGGGAATCGAACCCGGGTCTTCGGCGTGACGAGTGAACGCTTAAACCACTAAGCTACCCGACCACCCCCAATTGAATCAGCTTCAATGATCAAAAATACCTATTGTTTTAGCAAGGGAGATAGATCTATGGATATACGACTTCTCTATTACAATGAATTTGACATTTCGGTGTAGATACTAACACCGTTAACAAGCAAGTGATATGACGCATTCATTGTAATAAAGAAGTTGTATATCCATAGAGTTATCTCCCTTGTTCATCATCCCAGCTTCTAAACCCCACTTGAAGAGTGAGTGAGAGAGAGGTTTTAAGCCGCTTTTAGCAATATTACAGCAATATCACGGCGGGGGACACCAGAAATGGGCTTCACACATTGTACCCATGTCGGGAATCGAACCCGAGTCTTCAGTGTGACAAGCGAACGCTTTAACCACTAATCTACCCAACCACCCACCCCCACTTAAAGAAGTTACCCTTTTCTTATGCCCCCATGGTTATGTTTAGCATCCATTCTATGTGTCTATGCCGATAGGATGATATTGAGAATCTGTAACAACCTGGTAACAGACCCCAACAGTGTGGAACCCACCAAATCCATCTGTTAATCCAGGCTTTTCTCAACTTACTGCATGGTTCTCGGAGGCCTCGTACACGTACAGAATGCTGGTGTCGTACAGCATCATCTGGTGGTCGGCAAGCGCCAGGACACAATTCCGGAGTCGGGCTATCACCTCGCGATCTGCTCTTGGAACTGGCTGCAAACAGGTTGAACATTCTCAACAATGCCATTGAAATATGGTGCAGATTATAAGCCAAGTGTTTCTGTCTTGCTGAGTCTTAAGCCACACTCAGCAATAGTCCAGCCATGTGAGGGAGGCCTGAATCTAACCAATTCTGGGCTGGATAATACAGTGACAAATTGTGAGCAACGGAAAAACAAAAACAAAACAGAAACACTGAGCCTTGAATAACGCTAAAAGTGGCAAAAATACACACCCAAGAAAGAGACACACAAATACAGGGATGTGAGCAGGTTTTCCCATAAAAAAAAGGGGAAAAGTCTAGGGAAATTTTTTAAACATTTGATAGCATTTTAAGCAATTCTGTGCAGTTTGGACAACATTCACAGCAAGAAATGTAATAAGTCAATGGCAAAAGTCCAAACCTATGATGCTGACAGTTCTGATCGAAAACAGGACAATCTGCGACGGTTGTCCAGTTTTAGATAATATTTTTCAGATAGTTTTTTTTAATATATATATTTTTATGCGGAAGATGATTTTTTTCCGAGGACTACTGTTTAAAAAACCGCAATTTTCCGCATTTCCGCGGAGATTTCACAACTCTGAAATACACCACTGCTCTTGAACAACTCAATAACATGTCTCATGGTGAATTTAATGGTAATGAACTTTTTTAAGATTGGTATACGAATCCAGTGACTCAAAAATATTGAAATGTGAAAAAAATGAAAAGCTATGTTTATTATTTTACCGTCTGGAAATAGGTAAATATTCAAAAAGCGCATTTACTGGAGCTATCAAAATTAAATTGGTTGAAATACCGTACTCTTATTAAAATGTGTTGAAAATTTATATTGAAAACTTCAAAACACAACAAGTTATGAACATGATGAAGAATCATGGGAGGATGTGATACATTATTTTTTTTTCAACCTACCGACCTGGATATTTTGTGAAATATCCGTAAACCAAAACGATAAATGAAAGTATCGCTTAAACAATATATTGTGAAGGGATTTATTCACCTCTAGGTTCTGTTCGTATCCGCCTGTGTCGTCGCTGTCCTCATTGGCAGTGGGGGAGATCCAGATGAAGCCATTGTTGCCGAGGATGATGGAAGCTCCGCATGGCAGGTTGTGGAAGTGGGTTTTCCTCCTCTTCACAAGTGAGGGGGAGACTTGGAGCAGCGTACCCTGGCTTAACTGTCACCAAACGCCACAATGTCAACCACTTTGTGAACTGATTACTCGTTCATTAGATTCAAATGTTCCCAGCTCAAATGATTAATGTGTACAGTGACACCCTGGTAATATGGATGGTAGTGTTCCAACTGGAATCATTTGGATTAATTTTTTTTTTGATTAACACATTAAGGCCCAATAATGGTGGAGTAATGCTATTTTGATAGCAGCATTCAAGTCTGTAATTGCCAGGTCTTCAGATTAACAGAGTTCTGACTAACAGAGTTCAGTGTAAATAGTATTAGTGACAGTACCAGTATCCTGAAGATTTAACATTGCAGCGATAGAAATTGGCACTAGTCCGGTAGTCCTTGCCAAACTGCCCAATAGTTAAGGTATCATAAGGACTAGTAGAAATTTGCCATTTTTGATGGTTTTTCATAAGGACTATTGGACTGAAACTATTAGTTTCTAACACTGCACAGGTTTCTTTTTGGTACCTGGTATAAGGGCGGATCCAGCACTTCTAAAAGGGAGGGGCGTAAAATATCAAAATCCTCTCTCTGTCCGTTTTACTGTCTACAACAAACTACATTTGGTTTTCAAAAGGTCTGCCCCAGCCCCCCCCCCCCCCAACCCCAAAACCAAACAATACATGGAAACATAATATAATTCCATCTAACATAATTTCTGACTCAACTTTCTCAACCTCACAAGAGAAAACAAAATAAAGAAATGTTTCCAATACCCATTATACAACTGACCAACGCAAAATCATCTATCTGAAATAATGTACGATATAATGATGGGTACAAGTTATAACCAGGTTTCTGAAGGTAAACCTGTGGAAAGATTACTGTATTCAACGTAATAAGCGCCCACAGCGATATTTGCTAATATATGGCTAGTGAACAATCCCAATTAGCACCCCTTCTGATTGATAAATGTACACAAGACTTATTTATTCGTGTATAATACGCACTCGTGTGTTATATGTGCCCTTAATTATGGGCAATTGAATTCTGGAAAATATATCTTAATAAGTTAATACTTTTTTTTTAATCATTTCAGGCTGTCAGCATAAACCACGAAATTTACTAATTTTTTTTTCTTACAAAAATTATATTCTAATAAGAGGCCCCCTATTTCTAATTTTGAGAGCGACTGGGCGCTTATTACCTCGAATACGGTAATAATGGCTCCGAGGTTATTGTGTGTGCTGTGACGATGACATCGACTTCCCCACGACCCAACTTACCTTCCCATACTTGAGACTTCTTGTGTGTAGAGATAGGCAGCCATCCCCCATCACGTTCTGCACCTCTGCCTGACTCAGTCATGGAGAAATAACACACTACGCCATCAACTGACTACTTCCATTGAACTTTGTGCTAGCTTAATGTGGAAAGACTGAATGAGTTTGGGTTAACTCTGCTTTCAACAGCATTTCAGTAAATGACTGCTTCTAGGAAAACCGCGGTGATGCAGGTCTTAGATGTTTACTACTTTGGTGAAACCCACGAACATGGATGTCATGCTTACAAACCTAGAAACGTAATCAGCGCAAACCAGAATTAAGACTGGACCTGACAATGCAAAGATTGACAACATGAGCACCGATATATATGCCATAGGGATATGATGACATGCATCAACCAAGTCAGTGAGTCTGACCAACAGATCCTGTTGGTCGCCCCTTACGACAAGCATGGGTTGCCAAGTCTAACTTGGATCTTCACAGGGGGACAAGCATGGGTTGCTGAAGACCAAGTTTAACCTGGATGTTCATGGCGGACAAGCATGGGTTGCTGAAGACCACGTCTAACCTGGATGTTCACGGGGGACAAGCATGGGTTGCTGAAGACCATGTCTAACCCGGATGTTCACGGGGGACAAGCATGGGTTGCTGAAGACCATGTCTAACCCGGATGTTCACGGCGGACAAGCATGGGTTGCTGAAGACCACGTCTAACCTGGATGTTCACGGGGGACAAGCATGGGTTGCTGAAGACCATGTCTAACCCGGATGTTCACGGCGGACAAGCATGGGTTGCTGAAGACCAAGTCTAACCCGGATGTTCACGGGGGACAAGCATGGGTTGCTGAAGACCATGTCTAACCCGGATGTTCACGGGGGACAAGCATGGGTTGCTGAAGGCCAAGTTTAACCTAGATCTTCATTGAGGACAAGCATGGGTTGCTGAAGACCACGTCTAACCTGGATGTTCACGAGGGACAAGCATGGGTTGCTGAAGGCCAAGTTTAACCTAGATCTTCATTGAGGACAAGCATGGGTTGCTGAAGACCATGTCTAACCCGGATGTTCACGGGGGACAAGCATGGGTTGCTGAAGACCATGTCTAACCCGGATGTTCACGGGGGACAAGCATGGGTTGCTGAAGGCCAAGTTTAACCTAGATCTTCATTGAGGACAAGCATGGGTTGCTGAAGACCACGTCTAACCTGGATGTTCACGAGGGACAAGCATGGGTTGCTGAAGGCCAAGTTTAACCTAGATCTTCATTGAGGACAAGCATGGGTTGCTGAAGACCATGTCTAACCCGGATGTTCACGGCGGACAAGCATGGGTTGCTGAAGACCAAGTTTAACCCGGATGTTCACGGGGGACAAGCATGGATTGCTGAAGGCCAAGTTTAACCTAGATCTTCATGGGGGACAAGCATGGGTTGCTGAAGACCATGTCTAACCCGGATGTTCACGGGGGACAAGCATGGGTTGCTGAAGACCAAGTCTAACCCGGATGTTTACAGGTAAATAAGGAATGTAGGTATGTCCAAAGGATACACTGATGAGGTCCCCTTCCTTCAGGTAATGTCTCATCAACTTCTCGTCCTCCTCCGACCTCCGCCGCTGTCAACAAACAGGCAGTGAAAATGCAATCACTTGAACTTTGAAATTTGAAACAAGAAACTACAAGTTTTCAACCCAGAGCAGCCTTAGAAATTCAGTTTTAAAGACTAGTCCAGAGGACTACCGTAAACATTATTTCACTAGTCCTCATTGTTTGTACCTAGTCCTGCTTGAGTGAGTGAGTGAGTGAGTATAGTTTTACGCCGCTTTTAGCAATATTCCAGCAATATCACGGCGGGGGACACCAGAAATGGGCTTCACACATTGTACCAATGTCGGGAATGGAACCCAGGTCTTCAGCGTGACGAGCAAACGCTTTAACCACTAGGCTACCGACCGCCCCTTGTTCTGCTTGTACAAAACTGTTCACTATGTTTACATTTTCTGTCAGTTATATTCAGTTCCAATTTAAGCATTGTTTGTTTGTTGTCTAACGCTGCATTTAGCAATATTTCAGCTATGTGATGGCGATCTGTAAATAAACATCTGGACCAGACAATCCATTGATTTACATCATCAGCATCGATCTACACAATTGGGATATGATGACATGCATCAACCAAGTCAGCGAGCCTGACCACCTGATCCCATTAGTCGCCTCTTAAGACAAACATAGTTACAAAGTCAAGATCTATTCTCTATCCAGATCTTCATGGGTCAAATTGAAGCATTGAGAAGTGGTTCAGAATTATAGCCCTCAAATGCTTCTAGTCAATAAGGACGACCAGTATTAGATTTTTACTTGTCTTCACAAGAATTTAGTAGTGTTGTCGGGCCATGGAACCTATCCATTCAACCTCCATTACACAGACACCTCACTGCCTCCAACTGTTTGAATATTGATCTAAAACTTGTCAGAGTTATCAGTGCTGTGCTGAATCAAGTTGAGGACAAGTGATACTTGTACAAATATCCCCCCCCCCCCGTCAAAAAAAGTTAACTATGGCCCTTGGTTATTGATCTTTATATGTATATTATCCTTTATCTGGGATGTTTTTATGAATATTTTACTGTTATTTCCTGTTATGAATCCTATGACCTACTGAAATCCTATGAAGGCTGCACTTACATGTACACTTTCTTCGTAGTTTAACCTGCACTTCTAAACTACTATGTGCATACATTTTGTGGTGAATAAGTTTTCATTCAAACACAGATAAGTAGTACTTTCTAGATTTGATTTGTGACCCACTTTTAATTTTTTTAGGGTACAAAGAATCTATAAACAATTGAAAAAAATATTTTTTTTTGCGAAATGAATGTGTTAATATCTGTACCAGTTCTCCGCCCGGCAGGTTGACCGAGGACAGCATGAGGACAGAGTCCAGCTTCGAGTGAGTTTCCACCTTCCAGCGGCGCTGACAGACTTCCAGGATCCGACCAATCACCACATCCCCCACCTCACCATTGTACCTGACGGAAACACGTTGATTGTACATGACATGATGCAACCATGGTAACCCAACGCTCATCATACAAGACATGAGATAACATTGAGTGAGTGAGTGAGTTTCCACCTTCCAGCGGCGCTGACAGACTTCCAGGATCCGACCAATCACCACATCCCCCACCTCACCATTGTACCTGACGGAAACACGTTGATCGTACATGACATGATGTAACCATGGTAACCCAACCCTCATCATACAAGACATGATTTAACATTGAGTGAGTGAGTTTCCACTCTTGCCAAACTAGGCAGGAATTCCGGAGTTACATTTTGGCTGGACTAACAAGTCTATGCATAGTCCAATCTAAATTGCATAATGAACTAGACATTCAGTTTGTAAACAACATGGAATTCTGGTTTCAGTCGACTGCAGAATTTGCAAAGCATGTGTACTGCCAACTGGTCGTCGACAGATATTTTGCAGATCTTTTCATGTTTTCAATCAAGGTGCTCAAGTGATTTGATGTATTTCGTGTGGTAAGACACGTTTTATTACAATAGAGAATTTGATTATCGATCAGAATGTCTTAACTGGGCCATTTTGTTTGAAACAAATGCAAGCGATATGAGAGGTGGAATCTGACTGGTCAATAGGAGGAACGTAGGAGGGATATAACTTGTAATAGCCAATGGCGGGGCTACGATCGAACCTGGAAATTCCAGCCTAGTTCGGCAAGGGCGGAAACGGAACTTTTACAGTCAGTTATTGCCTTTGCCTCGGGAAGATGGACCACTCGATCCATTTAGTCACCTCTAATGACAAGCATACCTGTAAGGATAGATCTTTCAGTATCTCACAGCACTTCTCATGCAGAACTAGACTGAAGTTAGACTTAGTGCCTGATAGCTAAATACTCAAGTCATTTGTATGAAACCATGGTAACTGATAAAAGTTGAAAACTAGAGAAACAGAAGACAAAGATGCATTGTGTTTGTGTCAGAGTTTGTTTGTTGCTTAACACCTCACTCAAAAATATTCCAGCAATATGAAGAGAGGTTGTAAATAATTGAGTCTGAACCAGACAAGCCAATGATTGACATCCTGTGCATCAATCCACATAAATGGGTTATGAAGACATGATTCATCCAAGTCAGCAAGCCTGACAGGCCGATCCATCTCGTCACCTCTTACAACAAGCATAGGCTGCCTACCAATTCTAAGCCTGATCTTCACGGTGTTAGTGAGTGAGTGAGTTGGGTTTAACACCACTTTTAACAGTATTCCAGTTATATCACGGCGTGTCAGCTTAATGTGGGAGGAAAGCCTGAAGTGATGCAGGTTTCAGACGTTTACCATGTTTACCACTTCGGTGAAACCCACGAGCACGGGTATGGTGCTGACAAACCTAGAAACATAATCAGGGCGAACCGGGATTCGAACACACAATCATAGGTTTTTGGCGTGTCCAAGGGATGCAAATCGCGGTGCCTTAGACGACCCTCACGGTGTTTAAACTAACAGCCAGGAAGTAACAGCTTGCAAGGAAAAAGTCATTATGGCTCAGACATCATGGGAAGGTGTACTGTTGGTGCCTACCTTGTTTTGAGAGGCTTCACACAGATGAGCTTGTTGACACGCTCCACGACCCCTGCCACCGAGGAGTGCAGTTTCTCATCTTCCATATAAGTCCCATGACCACTGAAAAAAAATAAAAAACGACATATTTCAAGTCTTCTTTCATCACAAAAATAACATTTCAAAGCCAGGGGTCGATTTAACTGCTGGCCCATGGGTCTGTGGCCAGTTAAAATTACATACGGCTTGCTGAAACGTAAAGTAGATGGCTTGTCAAAATGTCACCCCTTCTCCATGTTTTAGGGGTGAGGAATTTTCAGAACCCTGCTAGGTGGCTATGCAACCTCAGGTTCAGCCACTTTGTGACCTCCACCATTTAGATGTAGGCAAGTTAGTTTGGAAAAGGGCCAGTAACTTTTAAAAGGAGCAAGCCCTGCTGGCTACATACAAATTTGTTGTTAAATCTACCCCTGAAAGCACATGTTTGGCTAAAACACTAAGTGCTAGATTTGACATAGCTGCTAGCCTGAGATTGGGGTTATGTGTAAAACACTTTCTCCAAGTATATCATGTATATGGTAACGTTACGACCAACCACTGGTCACAAAGGAATTACATGAGTTTTAGACTGAGCATGTCAAAATAGTTAAAAATAACCTACTAATACATTGCAAATAGCTTTTCTTTGTCAATAGTACTGATGTCACACCCGCATAAATTTCGTAATTAATACCAAGACAAAGTTTATTATTAATTATTATTCATGTTTCCCTACAGCTTTGCTAATGTTCTTGTTTGAAAAGCATCATGTGAAAACCTTACATGTGTAATTTCCCTGACATCTTGTTTAATAAAAGCTCAATACAAATGCAACAAATATGAAAATAAATGGGTACGGATCCTACAGATTTGTGTAGGAGTCAGGTAAATAAAGTATAAATGTTCTTAATCAGGTACGAATCGGAAGGGAATTTAGGTACGAGTTAGATGTTTTCGGTGGGCACGAATCCCTATGGGTATGGATCGTCTACATCCTGAACATACTTTTTCAACTTTGTCTCTCAATAGAATAATTCTAGTAAAAAAACACACACAATTTTGAACGTAATCTGATTCACAGTAAATTGAATTATTCAAATTTCAAATGCTATCTGACTTCACATACTCCCTCCAGGTTGGGGTCATTTCGTACCCCAAATGAATTGATACCTCTAGAAATTCTGTATTCCTGGAAAATTTGTAACCCTAAAAATAAGAAAATTTGTACCCTATGAAATATATCTAAGTATACCTTTATAGGGTAATATAAGGTCCTATTACAATTTTTACATTCGTTTTAAAACATCTTACATTTTCAAACAGACATGTTCATTGTGATTTCTCATGAATTGTGTGACGTTCATATTTATCTCAAAGTCTTAAGTATTGAAATATGGATCGGCCTTTCCTTCGACGAGCCAAAATATTCTGAAATCTATAGGTCAACATCATATTATGAACAATAAAAAACTTCATGTCATCCCTTCAGAGAATTCAGGTAAACTAACTGGTGATAGACAGAAATTATATATTCCAATATTGAGTTAATTTAGTTGCAGCTTTTAGTGTACTGTATATATTTAAAATAATAATAACCATAAGCGAAGCACTTTGGACCAACCGATTGCTATAGCCAGATATTTGGCATCTGGTGATTAGGCTGGCTACTTGAAACGGCCCGGCTCGATGACTGAACGTGGAGTATTGTTTCCATTTAAAGCTTAGCATCGGTCTATGGACGAACCCTACATATTTATCTTGTTGAAATAACATACAGCCCCATCAATTTATTATCACTTGACAAGTTGTTCTAGTTAAATACACATCTCCATCTCAGCGTTTTTTTAAACATTATCATCGGTCAACCGATTGATCAGATATCCTATCGCCCTATGCGGTTACGTTGATGGTCTCTTAAATTTGGTGCAGGATTCAGGTCAGGTCTTTCTGTTATAAAGATCTAAGTCTAGATTTATATTTAATATAGCGAAATTTATTGCTTATTGCATAGAGTTTTTTTATGTAACGTAATTTATTGCTTTTTGCATAGGGGTACGAAATTACATACCCCCTCCCTCCAAGTCCGCTAGGCTACTAGCCTTGCGCTCTCCATCAATCTGCACACTAAAACCAGTCCGTCGTAACTCTCTGCGACAATCACAGGGCTAAGATCACTTTATGGAACGGTGCCCAGAAGTGGATTCTGTGCAATAACTTAGCAGATACAGATCACATTCCCGTTGATCGAAAACTGGACAATCATAACTGTACCGGTATTAAATTTCATGTTTCCCATGTTTACGAATTAATTTAAATAAATGACATCTACCGCATGAATCCGGTATCGGTTGTGATGACATCTCCAGGCGTGACAAGATTGTTGATCTCCTCGATGTCACCCGTCTTCTGTCGAACACGTGCACTTGCCAGTCGAATATCAACAGTCGCCATTTTGAAAACTTATTATCTCCCTTGATAAGAGATACTATATTCGTCATAATGTGATAATCATGATAAGCGTGACGTAAAAGGCGTCTGTTGGTATGTCAAGAAAGTACTCTCCGAGATGTAATATATTCAAAATATTTCTCAGGTTACATTTAATCTAATAAGTGACTGCTGAAGTTGTATCCTTCGGTCAGCAAGTGTGTAACTGGAATCAGGGAGTCTGTATATTTATTTAGAGTACCGACTCTCACCCAATTAAATTTAATGGTTGTTCGTCATTTGGGTAGTGTGGCAGTAAGTAGGGCTGGGACGGGTAACTCGGGTACTCGGGTACTCGGGTACTCGGGTCGGGTGGGTACTGAGTAGGACCCGGGTACCCACAGGACTACCCGGATCCATGGTTAGTCAGGTGATTATATTGTTTAATGGCAAAAAATATCTAGAACTCTATGGTTACACTATAAGTGACAAATATTCACATTTCTTGCCGACTATACACACATTCCTTCTGGTTTTGTATGTTTGCATAAAGATAAAACTTCGGTCAAAGAAAGTGTATGCATGACGGAATCATTTTATACCTGTATTTAAATACATTTTGACAGGAGTACGGTCAAACGTTTCCCAATCGGACATTTTGTACCTATCTCTTGAGACCTACAGCGGGTACCCGGGTAGGGTCGGGTAATAGAGGGATGGGTACCCGGGTAGTAAATTTAGAGTCTTCCCAGCCCTAGCAGTAAGTAAAATAATATCCCGACAAGTACTCAACAATGCCACTCGACCTGCTTGTCTCTGGTTCTCAAGTCATGCCGAAAACACTCTGCGTCAAAACACTGCTGGATATTTGCAAAAATCTAATACTAATCAAGTGTATAGTTTTGAAAAAAAACGTGCCATATGCAAACTCAGTCAAGTTCGATAGATAAATGACTAACACAGGATCTAACATCGTCCCGCACCATGTGTGTGGAATATATGTATCATATGAAGCCAAAATTATGACAAAGGCAAGTTCAGCCACCTCTGTTCCACACTGAAATCAGCATCCGGATAATAATTTTGTTTAGAGGAGAGAATGTATTGTGTGATAAAAAAAACACATAGACTTCTATCCTGGCGGAAAATAAGCTTCAGAAAAAGTGGAGTAAATCAGCTGATATCCATGCCAGGCTCAACTCATTATGTGATATTTCTCATACAGAACAAAACACAAGATAATAGATGAATATACTTGGTTTGAACAACTCTGGAACGAAACATCGAATCCTCAGCATGGAAATAAGTTACGCAACTACCGTCTTTTAAAAAAAGATCTTATTCCGGAAAGCTACTTGCAAACCACTATATCCAGGAATATCAGAAAATATCTCTCTAGACTACGTTGTGAAAGCCTCTCCCTTCATGTGGAGACAGGGCGGCACATTAGACCCCCCAACCCTTTAGAGCACAGAACCTGTTATTTGTGGGTACCCACAGGACTACCCGGACCCGTGGTTAGTCACGTGATATATTGTTTAATTACAAAACATATCTAAAACTCTAAGGTTACAAGTCACTAATGTTCGCATTTCTTTCTGACTATGCACCCATTCCTTCTGACCTTTATGGGTTTGAATAAAGATAAAACTTCAGTCATCTCCAGTGTATGCATGGCCAGATCGTTTTATACGTGTATCTAAGTACATTTTACCAGGGCTGCGGTCCAACTGTTCCCAATCGGACATTTTACACCCAAGTCTTGAGACACATAGCGGATATCCGGGTTGGGTCGGGAAATAGCGTGGTGGGTACCCGGGTAGTAAATTTGGACTCGTCCCAGCCCTACACGGGTCCACTATCTGCCTTAGATCACAGCCAACTACTCGGGGTTTAACGTTCCGTTCAATAATAACGTGCATTCACGTGTGTGTGTGTGTGTGTGTGTGTGTGTGTGTGTGCGTGCGTGTGTGCGTGTGTGTGCGTGTGTGTGCTAGTCCGAACTAATGTCGTTATAATAGTGCGAGCCAACAAACATACCATATACCGCATGGACACCGCATTCTGAAATAATATACTAAGAATGAGCTGACTACTCCTTGTTTTAACCTTTTAATGCCGAGCGCCAGGCAGGGTAACAACAAGTACCATCTTCTAACTTCTTTTGGTATGACGCGGCCCGGGACTCGAACAAGCGACCTTCCGTTCTCCCTGGCAGACGCTCTATCCGCTAGACCACGGAGGCGGTCAACAATACTAGTACAATATGTGACCTTTAGGTCTCAACAAAAGTCTCACCGTGGACACCCGAGTTTGAATTGGTCTTCACACACATGCTTGTCGCAAAATGCTAACGGGATACTGTGATCGTTGACTTGGTTGATGCATGTCATCGTATACCAACTGCGAAGATCAATGCTCATAATGTCAAACACTGGGTTGTCTGGTCCAAACTGCATTATTTAAAGACCACCGTACGTCATATATTGGAATATTGCTGATGCCATATTAAACAACAAACAAACTTAACAAAAGTCATTGAACCAACCAGAGCTCGGTCATAACGCCTTCCAGTACACATGCATTAAGTTTTCCCATTTCATCGCCATTTCTTTGCATTCGCGCCTAGATTTCACCACAGGCACCGGGAGCCGATACATATAGGAAGAGACCAATATGTATATGGGTCTAAAATAATTAAATCATCTGGTTGAGGTGCCTGTCGTTTTAACCTATTTCATAATGTACATGGTTAAAATGCCAGTTTGTCAGAATCAATATAAGTGTCACACTATATGAAATTGTTTCTGTTTAGACCTTATAATAATTCGAAATATTAGATACTTTTGGTTTAGGAAAGTAGTATCGTGAAATTATTTAGAGTTACCTCCCTTTGAGTAAAACATGGGCAATGTCGGTCGGCAATGTCAGGCATTGAAAGCGATCGTAAAAGCCTAGCTACTGCTTGATCTGTACACATTGAACACACCTGCAAGCAAATATGAACAGAAAAGTGCCAGAGGAATTGAAAGAAAAATATCCAGTTGGTTGTCATCTTTTTAAATATATCGCAGACAATGATTATGATAAAATTGGAGAATGGTCTTTCATTAATGCAGAATGTCTATATATATCCATGTCGGGACTAATTTCTAATAACCGCTGGTATAATAGCGTTATACGCGTATCGAGGTATATACCAGTCATACCTACAACAGACCAACACACCAAGAACCAGTTTTCATTTGGGAAACATCCGTTTTTTGGCGATAAGTGCAGTTTATCATAAATCAAATATTTTCATCGTGTTACCTTGTCATACGTGAATAAGATCCACTAGCATTCATTCAGCAGAGACCATATACGGATATGGGATGTGGTACGATGTTCCCGTTCGTTAATTCGCAAGAATGTCAACATACACATATAGTTAATCATATGTAATGAATGTCCTTTCCCAAATCAAGAAAACTAACGTAACTCAACGTTTATAAATATATATGTAAAGGATTGGACAGCTTTTGAGTAAATTCTCGAAAACCTCGCATGCAAATCTTTGATTCTAGCACAGTTACGCGTAAAAGTACAGCTTGGTCTTGCGCAGCAGTGACTAGTCTCCAACTAGCCTCAAGGCCTGACCCAGGGTATGTGGTCTTTGCATTAAAGCACAAGGACAAGGGACAAAAAGTTCACCGACAATACAATTGGAAAAAAAATGGACGAACCAACAACCAACACAGAAACACTCAAATGAAATCACTAATTCTACCACCAAACATGATAATGATAATGTAGCCGAGAGCCGCGATGGGGTCTTGACCGTCGGACCACATCGCAGCTTTCGGTTTATGATAATGTTGTTTCATTTCAGCACTATGAGACTTACGCCAAGTGTCAGTCGTCCGCATTCATGGCAGGAACATTCACCTTTGCAACAGGTAAGACGATGTCTGTTCAAGCAAAGCTGGGTAGCCTAGTGGTCAATGAAGTTTCTCCTCCTGTTGGGATGTTGGGGTAGTCTAGTGGTTAAAGGGTTTGATCGTCACACCGAAGGCCTGGGTTCGATTCCACATGTGGGTACAATGTGTGAAGCCCATTTCTCATGTCCCCCCGCCATGATTTTGCTGGAATAGTCCTAAAAGTGGTGCTCAACCTGCTAACTCACTTCTCTTGCTGGTTTGATTCCCCGGTTGAGATGCCATCTCTGGTGTCACATGACATGATATTCTGGAACATGGCATGGTTTATCTAGACCTGCTCAGAAGCTGTGATTAAGCCCCAAGTCTTCAGCCAATGTTTGTACATATTCCCTTGCCTGTGAAGACCCGGGGAAGGATAGGTCTTCAACAACCCATGCTTGCCGTAAATGGCGACTATGCTTGTCGTAAGAGGCAACTAAAGGGATCCGGTGGTCAAGCTCGCGACTATACCATGTGTCATCGTATCCCAATTGAGTGGATGCTCATGATATCAATCACTGGATTGACAAACAAACAAACCAGCGCTAGAACGTAACACTTTTAGCCACTAGTCCTAATAATTATGACATATAGCAAAACCCTTAAAAATGGTAAATTTCTACTAGTCCTTATGAACTATTGGGCAGTTAAGGACTATAGGACTAGTGGCATTTTCTACCGCTGCAAACAAACAAACAAACAAACAAAAAACACATTGTACCACAACAATGTGGATTATTGTTAAAAACTTCCAATTGCTGGATTTGCTTATTTACAGGCTGCTGTCATACAGATGGAATATTCCTGTGCATGGTATTAAACAATAAATAAACAAGCCAACTTCATGGAATAATCCAGAATTATAATGATTTGCTACCCATGTGGACAAAATAACTATTTCACTCATTATCTGGAGACAAAATTGTGGCATGAGGTTCAGTTTTCTAAAAGAATGAAAATACATGCATTTGTGTTCTTAAAAACATGCTGTTTCTTTCAGCAACTGCTGGTTTGTATGTCGTTCAGGAGCTGCTGAAGACACGCCTCCCATATGCCTGGTCATCATTCCTGCTGACTTCGGTGCTGGGCGGGAGCGTGGTCTCGTACGTCGTTACTCGCAAGCAGACCAAGGGTTGTCAAGACATGTGGATGGCAATGGAAGACCGACACACTGCACTGACATCTATTGATGGTGGGTTTAGTTGCCAAGGAAAAACATCAAACCAGGACATTAAGATCTTCATCATACACTGGTGACACTACTGACCTAAAAATTTGTTATAACTCATTTTATGACTAACCAGGCCCAAACCTCATCACCTAACTGACTAGCTCCAAACCTCATTCTCTGACTATCTAGGCCCAAACATCATTCTCTGACTATCTAGGCCCAAACATCATTCTCTGACTATCGAGGCCCAAACCTCATTCACTGACTATCGAGGTCCAAACCTCATTCACTGACTATCGAGGCCCAAACCTCATTCCCTGACTATCGAGGTCCAAACCTCATTCACTGACTATCGAGGCCCAAACCTCATTCTCTGACTATTGAGGCCCAAACCTCATTCACTGACTATCGAGGCCCAAACCTCATTCACTGACTATCGAGGCCCAAACCTCATTCCTAATTAACCAGGCCCAAACCTCATTCACTGACTATCGAGGCCCAAACCTCATTCACTGACTATCGAGGCCCAAACCTCATTCCTAACTAACCAGGCCCAAACCTCATTCACTGACTATCGAGGCCCAAACCTCATTCACTGACTATCAAGGCCCAAACCTCATTCACTGACTATCTAGGCTTAAACATCATTCACTGACTATCGAGGCCCAAACCTCATTCCTAACTAACCAGGCCCAAACCTCATTCACTGACTATCAAGGCCCAAACCTCATTCACTGACTATCGAGGCCCAAACCTCATTCCTAACTAACCAGGCCCAAACCTCATTCACTGACTATCGAGGCCCAAACCTCATTCACTGACTATCGAGGCCCAAACCTCATTCCTAACTAACCAGGCCCAAACCTCATTCACTGACTATCAAGGCCCAAACCTCATTCACTGACTATCAAGGCCCAAACCTCATTCCCTGACTATCAAGGCTTAAACCTCATTCACTGACTATCGAGGCCCAAACCTCATTCCTAACTAACCAGGCCCAAACCTCATTCACTGACTATCAAGGCCCAAACCTCATTCACTGACTATCGAGGCCCAAACCTCATTCCTAACTAACCAGGCCCAAACCTCATTCACTGACTATCAAGGCCCAAACCTCATTCCCTGACTATCTAGGCCCAAACCTCATTCCTAACTAACCAGGCCCAAACCTCATTCACTGACTATCAAGGCCCAAACCTCATTCACTGACTATCAAGGCCCAAACCTCATTCCCTGACTATCAAGGCCCAAACCTCATTCCCTGACTATCAAGGCCCAAACCTCATTCACTGACTATCTAGGCCCAAACCTCATACACTCACTACAGAGGTCAAAGCCCTCATACACAGACTTCCTTGCAGCAGTAAAAATTATCCTAAAGCATTCAGCAGCCTGAATATAAGGACACCCCCTAAAAGTTCTCTTTGACCTTGTTATACCTTTAACAATAAACAAACTGACTAAAGCAGGCTAGTGACAATTTCTGTCTGTCATGGTGTCAGATCGATATATTCTTCCTTCACACTCTATCTAGTTTCTTAAGATTTTGGCAAAAAGAGTTAACACCGAAAAAGATAACAAAAAATGATAAACAGTTAAAAGCTATTTTCGATCAATTGTTTCATTTTGTTTCAGAAAGGAAAAAGATGGAAAAAACATCACCAAACACATTGCCATCAACTCCGTCATAGCTGTGCTGCGTCATCAGTATTTGACCTTTATGACAGAAACACATTGTCCTGAAGCAACATCTCTGTGTAATACCCTACAATAGCATATAGCAGTTACACACAGTCCGCACTCAGGGAGCACTGTTTGAGTGGGCTGGGCCAGGCACTGGTACCAAATGTCCTTTTATCCCATCTTCCCAAGGCAGGGGAGTTACCTATAAAAGTCCATTTTCCACCCTTGCCGAACAAGGCTGGAACTTCTGGGCTAGATTGGGCTATTACAAATTATGTCCCTTCAATATCCCTGCTGTTGACCTATCAAATTCCACCTCTCATATCACTTGCATTTGCTTAAAACAGAATGGCGGCGCCCAGTCAAGACGATCTGATCCATTATCAAAATCTATATTGTGATAAAACTGTCTTACCTCAGCAAGTGCATGGAAAAAACATGAAAAGATTTAGGAGATATCTGTTAGCGCCCAGTTGGTGAGACACATTCTTTGCAAATCCTACAATAAACCGAAATCTGCATGGCAGTAAACAAACCGGATGTCGATTTGGTTACGCGAATTTGATTGAACTATGCATAGACTCGTTAGTCCAGCCAAAATATAACTCCATAATTCCAGCCTAGTTTAGCAAGGGTGGAAACTGGACTTTTATAGTCGGTTAACTCCCTTGCCTCGGGAAGACCATACCTTGAATTGAGAATCTCAACCCAGTGCCTTTTGATATCATATATCAAAACAAGTAAATAAATGCTGTATGTTTTTCACTCAATTACTACTACTACTCTTTACTAACTGAGTGAGTGAGTGAGTTGGGTTTAACGCCGCTTTTAACAGTATTCCAGTTATATCGCGGCGTGCCAGCTTAATGGGAGAGGTAAGCACGAAGTGATGCAGGTCTCAAACTTTTACCACTTCGGTGAAACCCACGAGCAAGCACGGGTATGGTGCTGACAAACCTCGAAACAAACCATCGAACCGGGATTCGAACCCACAATCATAGGTTTCTGGCGTGCCCAAGAGACGCAACTCTGCACAGCAAATCGCTTTACTAACTGAAAAAGTTGTAAGAATGAATTTGCATGTTATATTGATATTGATATACCCTAATGTATTTTGTATCAAATATATAAACACTACTCGATAAAAGTTTGAACACATTAACATATAATGACATATGGAAATAAGAGGTCTATATATAGATTGTTATGAGCCAATGTATGTTATTTATTCAATATACTCCACATTCAGACTACTCAAATTTTGAAACCAAGTAGGCTTATTTTCTAAATAACATTAGGCAGCATTTGGCTCATGATTGGCTCAGATCTGTTTCCGCTGGCTAGGCCAGGGCACTGGTACCAAATGTCCTGATAACTATGCCTTGGTTTGTATAGTCATGACTGAGATGAACCTCTTGTTTGTCATGTGACTGGCTGTAGAGTTATCTCCCTTGTCTGTTGGGTGGCCACAGAGTTATCTCCCTTGTCAGTTTAGTTTTCTCACCTGTAGATATCATCTTGATAAGCTAAGCAATGACAATCGGTCCCTGGCCCTCAAATCTAGTCAAAAGTCATCCTTGTTCCAAGGTCAGAAGTGAAAGTGTGTCAAGGACATGGGTTGGAGGCTAATTCTGGTTATTAGACCTGTTCAGACACACGTGGCTCTGTGGCTTAAGTTGTCTCCCCTAGTCGCCTGGACTCACTGATCATGGGTATAAATTGCTTATTCATTACGTTATCGTACCATTTTTAGGTACATAGGTAAATTACAACATGCCTCACTTTGGGCATTCCTCGAAGATCAAGCAGATATGTGGGAATAGCCTAAGTACTATATGAATTACTAAACCCAACTCACTCTATCCCTCTACCCCTGAAGACCTGGGGTAGAATAGGTCTTCAGCAACCCACGCTTGCTGTTAAAGGCGACTATGCTTGTCGTAAGAGGCGACTAACGAGATCGGGTGGCCAGGCTCGCTGACTTGGCTGATGCATGTCATCATATCCCAATTGCGTGGATCGATGCGCATGATGTCAGTCACTGGATTGTCTGGTCCAGATCGCTGGCATATTGCTTTGTATAGCGTTAAACAACTAACAAACAACATTCACTCACTCTTGGACTTCTCGAGGCCTGGGCTTGACTGGGAATGCTGTAGACTCAGACAAATATGTACTTGATACTTGCCAAAATTGTGGGCCTTGTGATGCAGATGTTGATTTAGTGAAAGTCATACTTGAAAAATAAAGGCAGAATATATGAAATTGTTGTGTGTTGTTTTTTTAATACATGCGGGGCGGTCGGATAGCCTATTGGTTAAAGCGTTCGCTTGTCACGCCGACGCCCCCGGTTCGATTCCCGACATGGGTATAATGTGTGAAGCCCATTTCTGGTGTTCCCCGCCGTGATATTGCTGGAATATTGCTAAAAGCGGAGTAAAACCATACTCACTCACTCATTTAATACATGCGAGGATTGCTATATAACTTGTTTCTTCTGTATGTATTTACACTGTACTCATTTTAGACATAAACTAGTTTCATCGATTATGTTAATACGTGTTGATACGTTTTGACGTTTGTTGGAGAGATTACCACCAAGTCTGTCATGTTTGTAAACAACCAGGTTACTCAAATTTTCACTGGCTTGATGCCGGCTCAACAGTATACTAGCGCTTCAATAATCAGCTGCCACTGACAGTCATTACAAACAAACTTATAACAATCTCTTACTGCCACTAACAACAACTCCTTGAAGATCCGGGTCTTCAGCAATCCATGCTTGTCGTTAGTGTCGTCTAACGGGATCGGGTGTCAGACTCGCTGACTTTGTAGATGCATGTCATCGTATCCCAAATGCGTGGATCGATGCTCATGATGTTGATCACTGGATTGTCTTGTCCAGACTCGATTATTTACAGACCGCCGCCATATAGCTGGAATATTGCTGAGTGCGGCGTTTGAAAACAAACAGGATAGATCCTCATGCTTTAAATCGTTGGATTGTCCGGTCCAGACTCGATTATTTACAGGCCGCCGTCATATAGCGGGAATATTGCGGCGTTAAACAACAAACAATCACATACTGAACATAGCATGTTACAAAGCAACACATTTTCACCATTCTCTGACATTACACGCGATGTATTGTGACATATGCTAGCATGTTGTCAGCACTTATTTTTCGCGAAACATTCAAATGTTGAAATATTGATTTTTTTTCGCAGGCTGGTAGGGTGGGAAACAAGACAGGTCACAGCTGTCTGTTTGTTGACCAATGAATTGCAATACAGTTTAAAGCTAGCTGCGGTAAGTGTGTTATTGTGCTTGGTCCTCATCAACGATTTTGATGTTGAGTGTATCGACGAGTCGATTGGTTGGCTCGGAGTCAGTATACTGTGTCTGAGTGGGGTATTCATGTTACAACTGTGGCATGGTACCTCAGTGGGCTAGCACTATACATCGGCATCAGTCCGGACAAGTACAAGCACAAGTAGCCACACACACACACACACACGTGCATGCACGTCCCTATATAAGCGCAGTAAACCCAATTTCACCTCATCTCACGGCAGCCATGTTGTATTATATCTAAGGTTGCATTTAATTCGTTTTATTTCATGTAATGCCCTGAGTTATCCATGATTAACACTGGTTAACTCAGGCTGAATTTAGACAATCCTGGTTGCCAGAAATGTGGTTGACCGAGATCACTCAAAATCTAATAATCGAATGCGCGTACTATCATTGCATTCCTCTTCCCGAGGCAAGGGTGTTAACTGACCTCAAAAGTGGACTTTTACAGTCAGGTAACTCCTTTGCCTCGGGAAGATGCATTGTAATGGGCCAATAGGACCTCGGTCTGTACTGGCAGGACTCCACTAGTTTCGTGCACGTGACTGTCACATGACTGGCGACAGCCGTGAGTCAAATACAGTTACGGTTCAAATGGTAGTACTGCACCATGACCGTGGAAAAAATATTTATTTTAAGAAAAATAAATAAATCTAGAAACGCATACAAAAGCAAGTCTAGCAAGCTCAAGCTAGCTCTATTCCACATAGGGAAATGTTTTTTTAATTTTTAGAGTCAAGAAGGATATTGTGTAATATAAGATTTCAGAGACTTAATGTTAGTCTATTCAAATTGGTCCCGTAGCCTTTTTCTTGACGTAAATGTATTACAGCTGACTGTCACTGTGGCTGACGCACTGAAGTATAGTTCTTTACAGACATATACTATTTAAATCTATTTGGTGTGAACAAAGTAGACACAATTTATGGATAACAATTTCTTTATTATAACGTTGTTATCCATAAATTGTGCCTACTTTGCCATCCACCAACTTCTGAGAAATGCCTCTCAAACAATTGTAGCCAAACTACAAACATTTCACTGGAGAGCAATTTGAGCATACATACGCTCATGTCATCTCTCGTTTTGTGCTATATTTTTTCCGCGATAAAGATGGTTGACTGTTTGTGTGGAGACGAAGTCACACGTACTGATTGCAAGTGTGCAAACACCCTTCGATGTACAAGATATGGGGATATATAGAGAATCTCACCCTCGTGTCTTTTGATATCAAATATATCAACACGAGTTGATAAAAGTGGAAAAATTCCGAGGCTTGCGGAGGATTTTTGCTACTTTTATCAACGAGTGTTGATATATTTGATATCAAAAGACACGAGGGTGAGATTTTATTTATCATCCAACATCATTCTTCCAACTTCATCAATTTGTGGACAGTAATTAGCAGTGTCTTCAGTGTAAAAAGTACTGCTAACAGCTTCAGTAGCAGAGCCATTAGTGATGTCATTTGATTGTGACATCATGGTAACCAGTGACGTCACAATGGTCTGCAAAGCATTGTGATGTAATTTCATTGCAGCGATATATAGAGTGTAGATATCGCTTGATCTAATCCAAGCGATATCTCCTGTAGGAGCCAGTTTTGGATGATAAATAGAGAATCTCACCCGAGGGTCTTTTGATATCAAATATATCAACACAAGTAAATGATAAAAGTGTTTTTTTCCAACTTTTATCAACGATTGTTGATATATTTGACATCAAAAGACACGAGGGTGAGATTTTATTTATCATCCAACATCATTCTTCCAAACCTTAATCAGTTTGTAGACAGTAGTTAGCAGTGTCTTAAGTGTAAAAAGTACTGCTAACAGCTTCAGTGATGTCGCTTGATTGTGACGTCATGGTAACAATGACGTCACAATGGTCTGCAATGGTGAGCTTGATCTAACCCAAGCGATATCTCCTGTGGGAGACAGTTTTGGATGATAGATAGAGGTTATCACGCGAGTGTGTGTTGGGATGGTGAATATCTTGTATTAGAAATACAGACGCTATTGATGACGTCATACAACCACTATTGGTGACGTAATACAACCACTTGACGTAATACAGACACTATTGTTGACGTAATATATACTATTGTTGATGTAGTGCAGACGTAATGCAGAAACTATTGTTGACGTAATGCAGACGCTATTGTTAACTTAAAAAGACTCCATTGTTGACTTGGCTTGTAAAGACGCCTTAGGGTGTTAATTTCAGTTATTTTCACTTTGGCGTTGTCTCGGCTATTCCCTATTCACTTTATTCATCCAAAAGGTCGTTAACAAGAAGTATATATTATTACATTCGTGTGTATTTCTCCTTAAGTTGACAAAACTCTGTATTAGTTGAAACTTAGATGCGCCCTGTATGTAAGCATTTGTTTGTCATGATTATATCTGTGCTCGTGGGTTTAACTTCCGGCTCTCCTCCCAAATTAAGCATATACGGCGTGACATAACTGACATACTGTTCAACTCAATCAATTAATCAATATAAGATTGCCATGATATTGCTGGAAAATTTCTAAAAGGGACGTAAAACCATACTCACTCACTCACAGTGAAGCTCTGGTTTTGAAACAAAATCATGACAATGACAAAAAACCCATTATCAGATGAATTCGCATTTAATACAATATATTACAAATATGTGTTGCTCAATATAATACAATTCAGATGTTTTGATTCACGGAAGTTTGTGGTCATGGTCTAACGTTTAGTGTTTATCAACTATGTATGAGGGACCGCCCTATAGAGAAATGATTGTTGACGTCAGTGAAGCCTTTTCCTGTGAAAAGAAATTTAAAAAATACCATTTCCGTATTCATTATTTAGTTAACGGCGTCACAATCACCTACATCATCATCATCATCATCATCATCATCATCATCATCATCACTACCACCACCACCACCACTTCCGCCATTATCATCTATAAAAAATAAGCATTAAGGTGATCCAAAAGCGCATCTTCCCGAGGCAAGGGAGTTCACTGACAATAAAAGTCCACTTTCCGCCTTTGCCGACCTAGGCTGAAATTTTGGAGATATATTTTGGCTGGACAAACGAGTCTATGCATAGTCCAGTTAAAATCACGTAACGAAATCGACATTCGGTTCATAAACAACATGGCAACTGCCGTACAGATTTCGATCGATTGCACGATTTGCAGAGCATGTATACAGATGTTTTCCAAATCTTTTAATGCTTTTAATCAAGGAGCTCATGTGATTTGATGTGCTTCACGAGGTAAGACCCATTTTATTTTAATAAAGATCTTGATTATCTACCACGTCTTGACTGGGCACCGCCATTTTTAAAGCAAATGCAAGTGATATGAGAGGTTGAATCTGATTGGTCAGCAGGAGGGAAATAGAAGGGACAAATCGTAATCGCCGCTCTACGATCGAGCCTCAAAATTCCTGCGTAGTTCGGCAAGGGTGGAAACTGGACGTTTATAGTCACCTAACTCCCTTGCCTCGGGAAGGTGTCGAAAGTGATGAGATTGTGGTGGTATTTTAAAAAAAAATCATTATCTCCACATCAAATATAAATAAAGTCGAATTAGCTAAACGTCCATTGCGAGTCTCGTGAGTGAGTAATACTACCTGTTTACGCTTCAAAGTTAACAGTGAGTATGAACGTGCTATAATCCAACAGGCCATATGACAATGAAAGGTAACCTGTTCATGATGTTATACTAACTTTCTTTTCGTCATTATAGAGATACACGGTAGTCGCGCCGAATCCCCAGTTGAAAACGTCGTAATTGATGATGTAGTCACAACCGATGTCTTGTCGGAGCGCAGGTGGGCTACAGCGACTGTAGATCTAGGAAAGTGGGGGAGTTGTTTTAACGCCATTTTGAACACTATTGCAGTTAGGGTCAATATTTCTCAGTTATCTGATTTACATATTGGTATTTTTTGGTTGCCGACAATATGAAAAGGGCTTTTGGGGAATATCAAGTCAAAGGGAGTAAGAAAACATACTTTATGGCAACAACTATTTTATTGCACATAGCGACGTTTCGATGTAGATTTTCACACCGTTAGCAAGCTGGAGTGACAACAACCAAGTGAAGAGAGGTATATTTACATGACATGATAAGCAGCAAATTAACATTGACAACAACAGGTAACAGATAACAAGTAGCACACAGATACTTGGCTGAAACCAGATGTACACTAAGTGGGTGAGTGAGTGTGGTTTTACGCCGCTTTTAGCAATATTCCAGCAATATCACGGCTTATAGGAATAACAAATAGCAGACGGGTAATGAAGCCAGATGTAGAGTAAGGATAACAAATAGTTCACGGGTAATGAAGCCAGATGTAGAGTAAGGATACCAAATAGCACACGGATGAAGCCAGATGTAGAGTAAGGATAACAAATAGTACACGGATGAAGCCAGATGTAGAGTAAGGATAACAAATAGTACACGGATGAAGCCAGATGTAGAGTAAGGATAACAAATAGTACACGGATGAAGCCAGATGTAGAGTAAGGATAACAAATAGTACACGGATGAAGCCAGATGTAGAGTAAGGATAACAAATAGTACACGGGTAATGAAGCCAGATGTAGAGTAAGGATAAGAAATAGTACACAGGTAATGAAGCCAGATGTAGAGTAAGGATAACAAATAGTACACGGGTAATGAGGCCAGATGTAGAGTAAGGATAACAAATAGTACACGGGTAATGAAGCCAGATGTAGGGTAAGGATAACAAATAGTACACGGGTAATGAAGCCAGATGTAGAGTAAGGATAACAAATAGTACACGGGTAATGAAGCCAGATGTAGAGTAAGGATAACAAATAGTACACGGGTAATGAGGCCAGATGTAGAGTAAGGATAACAAATAGTACACGGGTAATGAGGCCAGATGTAGAGTAAGGATAACAAATAGTACACGGGTAATGAAGCCAGGTGTAGAGTAAGGATAACAAACAGCACACATGTAATGAAGCCATATATGCACAGTAAGGATCAGAATTTGTCAAAGGGTGTCTTAGCTTTCTCTACATTGTAAATATATTAACTTGGTCTCGTCGCTATATGGCTGAGATAATGCCGATGCGACGTTAAATTTTAACTCACTCACTCACTCACTTAGCTTTCTGTAGTGAAGTGCTTTGAAACTTCCTTTTTACTGAAATAAGAAAACAGACTCGCCGGGAAGTAAAAGAGACTCTTCTCAAAATTGTAGTTTAAGTGGGCCGATCCACAAAGTAATAGTAAACTATTTCCACTGCGGTGATAATATTCCCACCGGGGCGGGTGCGGTGGAAATAGTTTTCTGTACGGTCATTTTAGTTTTTGACATTTTCGCTTTTGTTTTTGACATTTTCGTTTTTGTTTTTGACATTTTCATTTTAGTTTTTGACATTTTCGCTTCACATTTCAGCGATTCAATAGCTACTTGAAAGTACATTTTCCATGTTTTCGGTTGTTTTTAGACATGATTTATCACATATTTGTATGACAAATTGTGTTAATTTGCAAAAGATTATGATAAAAGTAAGTGAAATATCAAAATATTGAAAAACATGTCCCTTATGGGCCAAGCGCAATAATCTTGGACGCGACGTTAAACCCCATTTCACCTGACCTCACCCCCTTAATACCGAGAGCCAGAATAACAAATATACCATCTTTTAACTTCTTTAGGTATTACGCGGACAGAGATGAAACCACCGACATTCCGGTCTCCGGGCAGACGCCCATGCTTAACACAATGAAAGAAAACCCTTCCGTTAAAATCCGGACAGTTTCAACATTCACATTACTGCCAGTTAAACCTGGCAAAAACCCAAACATTATTGATCGCCTTGAAATGGAATTTCCTGCTAACACCTAGTACCGTAAATGGTTTTCAGTGGTCCATTCGGAGTTGTGTGTTTACAGACTATCGCAATATAGCTGGAGTACTGCTGATGGCGGCGGAATACAACATTCATTCTCTCACTGAGACAGGGTGTTCTGCCGCTACTTACTCTGAGTTTAACACCCGGATGTAGGATGTAGTCGCCGAATTTGTAGAGGATATCGGGTTGTTTTTTTCTCTTTTTTCTCAAAGTCCATCCATCCAGCTGCACCGACTAGTCGCCAAATTAGAGTCATCTTTTAGTATTACTTTGTATTACTGGGGGTAGTAATATTAAGTGGTACAATTCACGTCGTATTATAAGATGGTTATTTCAGTTAGTCGTAAACAAGCCAAGCCTTATGAAACGCCGTTTTACTAGTTATCCCCAAATTCAGTGTATCAATATTTAATCTATTTGATGTCACAAAATGCAAATTTGATATCGAAAATTGAAACTGATTGATATAATATTTTTAAAGGTATTGATATTTTGTATATCAAATATAAGTTTATCATTTCATAAGATAAATTGTGTGGTATCTAAAATATATTTTATGATATCCAAAACTCGAATTTGTGATGTCAAAATTTCATTTCGTGATACCAGTAATGAATTAATTACATAATATAATGAATTCAATTTACAGATATCAATAATTCATTTATGACATCTTATTTATTATGTCAATGGTACATTTTGTGATATATCTGAAAATAGTGTTAATTTTAAATATCAATACATTGAATTTGTGACATCAATATGTCACCTTTTCACATCTTCCGAGACAAGGGAGTTAACTGACTTTAACAGTCAGTTAACGCCCTTGCCTCGGGAAGATGCCTTTTTTACAGAAGCTGCCCCTTGACTAAACATTAGGAGTGTTATAACAGCAGAATGTCATGTTCGGCTTATTAAATGGCACACTGTGCTGAAATCTATATGTGAATAATTCACACACAAGCACAAAATGCATTTCCATTATGTACATGTACCAAGAAGTTAATAAATAATATAACATATTCGAATTTTAGATATCAAACGTACTTACAGTTATACGCGAATTCAAAACGATTTTGTCTAAAACGAAATGCTCATTGTTATTCCCCGAATGCACTTTAAACTGCTAAAAAACACCATTTATGGAGAACCAAAAAATAAGTATTTTGTAATAAGTTTACTTATCTTGTTTTGCCGTTAAACGAATTGTATCAACTTTGCCTTCAATATATAGGAAACTAAAAACAATGAAATAATCATCAACCTTTGCCTTAGACCCAGTTGTGGTGTTCTCAATCGTTATATAACTCCCGTCCAATGATACGTCAACGAAGCTGACTGGGCCACGGGCCGACCTTGACATTACGTTTCGACCGGAAACGCCAGAGTTCTTTGTCTGCGCATGTGCAAACATTTTGACAAGTAGCACACATCGGTCAACACAATTTGTCTCTTCAAATCTTCAAAGCAGTTGGATTTTTATCTGTAAGGAAAAACCAAAACCAAACATATTGTCTAATTGTAAATGGACACTGGCGCCGTATAAGTTGTGTACGTTCTTACAGTATAGGATTATTTAGTGAGTATCAAAGAAAAGAGACTTTGTCATTGTGTATGTAATTAAGAAGGTAAAATAATGTGCTCAATATCTAAACTTCCTAAATTGTTATGCTTACCATAAGTTAAAGAGCTATGGAGGGGCGTTTGCCAATTAAATAACACTACTTATATGGAAACCATTAGAACATATCTGGAGACCACCATTTACCATCTAGTTGTTACGTCAATGCAAACCAGAAGATTAATGTAACAATCTGAAAGAGCTGTAGGGTAAGCAAAAATTTCTGGAAAAGATTTTCACAATGGATTGAATCCAAGTGTCCACATACTGGCAAGATAAATCTTACTTCAGACCTAATTCTTTTTGGCTTTTCAAAACATTTCCACACTGATGATATTTTTGATCTGATACTTTTATTGGCCAAATTTCACATTTATAGATGCAAAATGAAAAATAACCAACCAACCATTAGACATTTCCAAAATGAGGTTAAATATTATTACCAACTAGAAAAATATAGACACTTTAATAAAGCCAAACAGACTGAATTCTATACGAAATGGGCTCCTTATGAAAACCTTTTGAAAATATAAACATTTGCTATTCCAAAACTTTACTAAATATATATCCTGCATCCTGTCTTCATAAGTACTAAAGCTTCTAGTGAGTGTGAATGTGTGTATGGATGTGTGCGAATGATATGTACTTTCTGAAAAAAACCTGGTCATGTATTTTGACTCTCATCCAAACATGATGTACTTTTACCAGTAACAATAAAAAAAAAAAAATAAAAAAAAAAAAAACAATCTGAAAGAAGTGAGTGTCAGTGTCGCTCAAATGACATGCAGTAGGTATTATGTTAATGTTGCTAAACACTGTAACAAATTCGCATAAATAGAAACCGGTGATTATAAACTGTCGGCATAAAGAAACTTTACAACTTTTAAAATGAAATTGCAAAAAAATAAAAACACAAGTTTAAACTAAATCAATGCAAAACAAACACAACAGTGCTCTATGCAGAAAGTGATAAAAATCCATGGCACGTTTTTTTTTTAGAAAATGCGAAAAGGTGAAAAACGTGCCGCTGCGGCAGGCGAAACTATACGTGCAATATGGGTATATACATGATACGGACGGCATTTTCAGAAACACAAACAACTCCATAGAAATGCCACGACTGACACCCGAACAACGCGAGGGGTCCTGGGTAGGATACAGATGGAAGCCACCCATGCCCACATTGCTAGAACTTTCGGTTGCTCCTGTGTTGCTGTAACTAGCCTGATGCAAAGTTACAGACAGACCGGGCAGACATCGAACAGGCAGACCCAGGGTAACTACACCCAATGAAGACCTGTACTTGCGTACTTTGCATTTACAGGAATCGATCTTTGACAGTGACGTCATCAGCGACGATGCCTTAGTGTATATGATTAGTCGACAGACAGTGGCCAAGCAACTCAGGGCTCAAGGAATTAGAACTTACAGACCTTACAGAGAACAGTTATTGACAGCGCAACATCGTCGTCAGAGATTAAGAAGGGCCCGGACTATATGTCGTTGGCAGAAACGTGACTGGCAGATCAGAGGGTGTTCACTGATAAAAAAAAGGTTCTGTCTGTGTTTACCGCCGAAGGGGAGAACGAACGGCAGCATGTTGCCTTCAAGAGGTCGTGCCGTATGGTGGAGGGGGTGTTATGGTGTGGATAGGAATTTGTGGGCAGACGAGAACACCATTGGTCATCGTTAAGGGAAACTTGCCAGCACAGCGTTCGTTACATGGATGACTCTTCAGCCGACTGTCCGACCATTTCTATAATAGCTTCCACGTGGTGAGTTTTTGCGTGTCTTGTAGCAAGGGGTGGCCATGGAGGGCCATGGCAGGACATGGATGTTGTGATTCCCGAAAAAGGCCATTATTAGTCTTGCCGTGTGAGTTCGGCGTTGTCTTGTTGGAAAATTACGTTCGCTTGTTGCATAATGGGAAGGACGTGTGGCTGTAGAATCTCAACCGTGTAACGTTGTGCCGTTGAATACCCCAGAACATGCACCAAGTCTGTTCTACCATGTAGGAGATGGCTGCCCACATCATTACACCACCACCACCACCACCACCACCACCACTTTCTGTATGCAGTTTCCTGCATAACGTTCCACGATGTCTACCATCCGAGTCACGAAGCATAAAACGCGATTATAACCAAACTTGTCTCCATCGCAGTTGAGGCCATACTCTGTGACCTTGACACCATACACGTCGCAGCCGACGATACAGGTACGTCAAAATGACACCTTGAACTGGTCGTCAAGCGCGAATCCCTTCAGCGCGAAAACGGTTCCCCACTGTCTGCGCTGATATTCTACGCAATCCTGGTATTGCCGTTGTTGTAGAGGTGGCCGTGGTGGTTCTTTCAAGGAAGTGACGTAGCCGTATGAATCACTGCGCTAGTAGTGATACGTGGTCGACCCGATCTGGATGTTGCTTGATTGACAGGTGGCGACAGGTCGATTAGTTACATCATTGTGCACGTAAGTGTCAGTGACGTTTCAGAATGGAAAGGGGTCAGCGTCAGACTGTTGTGTCATGGGCGCGATTCCATGTTCAGTGGTCGAGGTCGATGACCGGAATCGTGTTTGGGTCGTGCCAGTGATCGCTGCAAGCGAACTATCATATCACAGGAGGACCCGTATGTTCATTGCTCAGTAGTGAGTGGAACAGCATCACATGCACAGCCATAGTCAGACTTCATCGGTCTTAAAGATGGTCGACTCACATTAACGCCTTAAGCTTCCCACATGAAGGTTATAAGGCCAGTCGTGGTACCCTTTGCTCTTTGGATTTGGCGTCAGTTTGAGTTCCAAGATGCTAATGCCCGTCCATAGACAGCTCGTGTGTCAGTTGATTTGATTAAGAATGGGAACACAGTTGAGAATACTGTAAGGGATCTCAAACTTCCTAAACAAGCTAAATATGCCCAAAGTATGAGAATGAGCGAGCAACCACTTTAACCTCTCGGCTACCCTGTCTTCCTTTACTGATTGGCTAGGTACCTGCTATGAAGTCTTTCCCCATCTTCTGTCATCGTTTGCTACAGGTGGCCGGACGCCGACTCGTACAGGGCCTGGTTATTCAGTTCAAGTGGGGCGACACCTATATGAATGTCAAATCAATACAAGAGAATTACTGTTGTTCTGATGCGAGGTGAGGTGAGGTGAAATTAGTGCCCTCGATGAAAGTGACACACCGTTATTAGTGTCCTGTGTGTGACTGACACATTGTCTTTAGTGCCCTTTGTGAAACTGAAGCATTGTCATTAGTGTCATGTGTGAAACTGAAACATTGCCATTTGTGCCCTATGTGAAACTGAGGCATTGTCATTAGTGCCCTATGTGAAACTGAGACATTGTCATCAGTGACCCGTGTGAAACTGAGACTTTGTCAGTAGTGCCCTATGTGAAACTGAGACATTGTCATCAGGCCCAGTGTGAAACTGAAACATTGTCATTAGTGCCCTGTGTGAAGCTGACACATTGTCATTAGTGCACTGTGTGATACTGACACATTGTCTTTAGTGCTCTTTGTGAAACTGAAACACTGTCATTAGTGTCCTGTGTGAAACTGAAACATTGTCTTAAGTGCCCTGTGTGAAACTGAGACATTGTCATAAGTGCCCTATGTGAAACTGAGGCATTGTTATTAGTGCCCCATGTGAAACTGAGGCATTGTTATTAGTGCCATGCGTGAAACTGACATATTGTCATTAGTGCTCTGTGTGAAACTGAAACATTGTCATAAGGCCCTGTGTGAAACTGAAACATTGTCATTAGTGCCCTGTGTGAAGCTGACACATTGTCATTAGTGCCCTTTGTGAAACTGAAACATTGTCATTAGTGTCCAGTGTGAAACTGAAACATTGTCTTTAGTGCCCTGTGTGAAACTGAGACATTGTCATTAGTGCCCTATGTGAAACTGAGGCATTGTCATTAGTGCCCTATGTGAAACCGAGGCATTGTCATAAGTGCCCTATGTAAAACTGAGACATTGTCATTAGTGCCCTGTGTGAAACTGAGACATTGTCATTAGTGCCCTGTGTAAAACTGAAACATTGACATTAGTGCTCTGTGTAAAACTGAAACATTGTCATCAGTGTCCTGTGTGAAACTGAAACATTGTCATCAGTGTCCTGTGTGGAACTGACACATTGTCATAAGTGATATGTGTGAAACTGAGACATTGTCACATCTGCCCTGTGTGAAAATGACATATTGTCATTAGTGCTCTGTGTGAAACTGAGAAATTGTCATTAGTGCCCTATGTGAAACTGAGACATTGTCATTAGTGCCCTGTGTAAAACTGAGTCATCGTCATTAGTGCCCTGTGTAAAACTGACACATTGTCATTAGTGCCCTATGTGAAACTGAGACATTGTCATTAGTGCCCTGTGTAAAACTGAGTCATCGTCATTAGTGCCCTGTGTAAAACTGACACATTGTCATTAGTGCCCTATGTGAAACTGAGACATTGTCATTAGTGCCCTGTGTAAAACTGAGTCATCGTCATTAGTGCCCTGTGTAAAACTGACACATTGTTATTAGTGCCCCGTGTGAAACAGAGATATGGTAATTGGTGAACTGTGTGAAACTGAGATATACTTAGTGCCCCGTGTGAAACTCATGGTAGATACAGGTCTTCGTGTCCTAATTGCGCAGATCTATGCTCCTGATGTCAATCACTGCACCTTCTGGTCCAGACTCTATCATTTACAGACTGCCGGTGTATAGCCCGAATATTGGTAAGTGCGGCTTTAAATAACAAACAACAAAGTGACCTCGCACGACCTATTTAGATCTAGGCACATACGCTGAAGAAAATAGTGCGTTCCCTGCTTAGCACTCTACAACCTATTTGTGAAGACTTGATCATTAGTACAGCTCCCGCAGTTTCGTAATCATGTAACTTTCCACGTAATAGCGTTATTTTCACGACATAATACTTGAAACCACACTCTGACCGATTGTCGCCGGACTGCGGGAGTAAAGTACATTCAAGGTTATATTGACAAGGAGGTAATCTTTAACTCACCTTCACTCCACACAGCACATGGAGGCCTTGATACTGTGTATAAGTTCTGATATCACATAAGTCGTCACCCGAGCAAGCACCAACAAAGGCGTGTTCAAATCATGAGTAAACAAACCAACATGCTTCTACCTAGGTATCATTTCACCTGAACTACATTTCAACTGATAAAACGCCACACAGGCAATATGCATTGGGTCGCAGCGAAATACAACGAGGTATTGTGTAGTGAAAAAAAAGCAAAAGCATTAATATTAGCATGCACTCAATACTAATAACATGCATCCGGTGAATTATTTCAATTCTTTGTATTAAACGACCGTGCTATACTCCGAGGGAGATAGAATTGCCTCGGCGTTTGACAACGCCCACAGCAGAGTATGACTGTCACAAATACAGAGCTAAACCTGCTTTCATGAACGTAAATGCTTCTTTTGACGTGCTATATTTGGACTATTATGTAGCATGTGTAATCACCATGCCCTTCTGTCAGGGGATGTGTCATGCTATTGTGGATGCTAGCTGTAATACTAGCCAGAAAAGAAGCTAGGTATTTCCTGCGTGACAACTGAGGAAAAAACGCACGGACCTAAGACACATCCTTGTCTTACCACCACGATAATAAAAAGTGCATGTAGGACATGAATTGAAGATTGACAAAGTAGACACAATTTATGGATAACAACGTCTTCATTTACTGTAAAGGCAACGTTATAGATCCTTATACCCTTGCCATGCAAGGCTGACTAATGAATGTAGGGCATATATTGAATACAATCGTTTTAATGTTTCGTCAGTATGTCATGCATAAACACTTGTGCAATACTTGTCTAGTGTGTGGCTTGACTGTTTCCGTCGCAGTCATCAGTATTCCAACTCTTTCACGGAAGCTTGTACACTATCGAGCCAAGCAAACCAGTAGGTGGAGGCTTAAGTATCGATTCAAGTCATCGGGGATTGATGTCACACTATCAGCAAGGTCGCATTGTTACCGTCCTATCCTATTTCTTATGATCGACACGCATGGGGTACCGGGGACCTACTCTCACCCAGATTCCCACCCAGATTGCCCACTTTGTTCACCCGATAGGACATTGCTTCTTTAAAAAAGAGGCCCTTTTATAATTTGGAAATTGTCGTTCAGTAATCGTGTAATATTTTTGAAACAAAATATATCACCTGATGAGAGGTGCATTTTATAATTTGGAAATTATCGTTCAGGAATCGTGTAATGTTTTGGAAAAATATATCACCAAAAGAGTTATGACTGTTATCATTTGGAAATTATCGTTCAGTAATTGTATAATATTTTTTAAAATAAATATATTATCAAATGGATTGCAGTACCACGGTAATGGAGAATCGTCGGTCGCAGGGCAGACATACTTTAGTGAAATTTGATGAGCTGGAGGGAATAAACACAACTTAATTACAAAGGTAGACACTACATGCATGAATACAGTTTCCAAGTCAGGGGATCAGTTTGTTAACTTGTTGAAGTGTGTTAAACGAAGGAAACTGTATCGTTATTCCATTCAAGATGTACTTTTTACTCTGCTCAGCAGGGTTGAAACTCTCACGTTATTTGACCACGGCATTTACATGCGTCATCAACACAATAGCCTTACATCCTGTGGGTGTTGAGACCACAGATAAATATCGTAATATTTTCACGATTACTTTGCACTGTCTCTAGGGGAGATATTTGAACCGGATTTTGCAGTGACAGATACTTAGATGAGATTGTTCACACAGACTGCATTTATGAAATTGTACAATGGGTTTAACTGCATGTGTTCTCGCCTTCGGTTACCGGTCGCTATGATAACGGAGCAGATGAAATACATGTACTATCGAGATCTTTGGGGATTGCACTTGTGTTGTGTTTTGTTCTCCGTATTTAGAGAGACAGCCGCGCAGGCCGTGTAGTGCAGACGTTGTGGCAGGGGATTAATGGTATCTGAGACTGTGCAGCATTTCACGCACTGCGCGATTCCTTTGAGAATTCAATCAGTTTCTAGGCCTGAAATTGTTGCCATTACATCATGAAATGTACATGCTCCGTGGTTCCATGTATCTACCAGCTTACTGCTCCGTGGTTCCATGTATCTACCAGCTTACTGCTCCGTGGTTCCATGTATCTACCAGCTTACTGCTCTGTGGTTCCATGTATCTACCAGCTTACTGCTCCGTGGTTCCATGTATCTACCAGCTTACTGCTCTGTGGTTCCATGTATCTACCAGCTTACTGCTCTGTGGTTCCATGTATCTACCAGCTTACCGTTCCGTTGTTCCATGTATCTACCAGCTTACTGCTCTGTGGTTCCATGTATCTACCAGCTTACTGCTCTGTGGTTCCATGTATCTACCAGCTTACTGCTCTGTGGTTCCATGTATCTACCAGCTTACTGCACTGTGGTTCCATGTATCTACCAGCTTACTGCTCCGTGGCTCCATGTATCTACCATCTTACTGCTCTGTGGTTCCATGTATCTACCAGCTTACTGCTCTGTGGTTCCATGTATCTACCAGCTTACTGCTCTGTGGTTCCATGTATCTACCAGCCTACAGCTCTGTGGTTCCATGTATCTACCAGCCCACTGCTCTGTGGTTCCATGTATCTACCAGCCCACTGCTCTGTGGTTCCATGTATCTACCAGCTTACTGCTCTGTGGTTCCATGTATCTACCAGCTTACTGCTCTGTGGTTCCATGTATCTACCAACTTACTGCTCTGTGGTTCCATGTATCTACCAGCTTACTGCTCTGTGGTTCCATGTATCTACCAGCTTACTGCTCTGTGGTTCCATGTATCTACCAGCTTACTGCTCCGTGGCTCCATGTATCTACCATCTTACTGCTCTGTGGTTCCATGTATCTACCAGCTTACTGCTCTGTGGTTCCATGTATCTACCAGCTTACTGCTCTGTGGTTCCATGTATCTACCAGCCTACTGCTCCGTGGTTCCATGTACCTACCAGCTTACTGCTCTGTGGTTCCATGTATCTACCAGCCTACTGCTCTGTGGTTCCATGTATCTACCAGCTTACTGCTCTGTGGTTCCATGTATCTACCAGCTTACTGCTCTGTGGTTCCATGTATCTACCAACTTACTGCTCTGTGGTTCCATGTATCTACCAGCTTACTGCTCTGTGGTTCCATGTATCTACCAGCTTACTGCTCTGTGGTTCCATGTATCTACCAGCTTACTGCTCTGTGGTTCCATGTATCTACCAGCTTACTGCTCCGTGGCTCCATGTATCTACCATCTTACTGCTCTGTGGTTCCATGTATCTACCAGCTTACTGCTCTGTGGTTCCATGTATCTACCAGCTTACTGCTCTGTGGTTCCATGTATCTACCAGCCTACTGCTCCGTGGTTCCATGTACCTACCAGCTTACTGCTCTGTGGTTCCATGTATCTACCAGCCTACTGCTCTGTGGTTCCATGTATCTACCAGCTTACTGCTCTGTGGTTCCATGTATCTACCAGCTTACTGCTCTGTGGTTCCATGTATCTACCAACTTACTGCTCTGTGGTTCCATGTATCTACCAGCTTACTGCTCTGTGGTTCCATGTATCTACCAGCTTACTGCTCTGTGGTTCCATGTATCTACCAGCTTACTGCTCTGTGGTTCCATGTATCTACCAGCTTACTGCTCCGTGGCTCCATGTATCTACCATCTTACTGCTCTGTGGTTCCATGTATCTACCAGCTTACTGCTCTGTGGTTCCATGTATCTACCAACTTACTGCTCTGTGGTTCCATGTATCTACCAGCTTACTGCTCTGTGGTTCCATGTATCTACCAGCTTACTGCTCTGTGGTTCCATGTATCTACCAACTTACTGCTCTGTGGTTCCATGTATCTACCAGCTTACTGCTCTGTGGTTCCATGTATCTACCAGCTTACTGCTCTGTGGTTCCATGTATCTACCAGCTTACTGCTCTGTGGTTCCATGTATCTACCAGCCCACTGCTCTGTGGTTCCATGTATCTACCAGCTTACTGCTCTGTGGTTCCATGTATCTACCAGCTTACTGCTCTGTGGTTCCATGTATCTACCAACTTACTGCTCTGTGGTTCCATGTATCTACCAGCTTACTGCTCTGTGGTTCCATGTATCTACTAGCTTACTGCTCTGTGGTTCCATGTATCTACCAGCTTACTGCTCTGTGGTTCCATGTATCTACCAGCCCACTGCTCCGTGGCTCCATGTATCTACCATCTTACTGCTCTGTGGTTCCATGTATCTACCAGCTTACTGCTCTGTGGTTCCATGTATCTACCAGCTTACTGCTCTGTGGTTCCATGTATCTACCAGCCTACTGCTCCGTGGTTCCATGTACCTACCAGCTTACTGCTCTGTGGTTCCATGTATCTACCAGCCTACTGCTCTGTGGTTCCATGTATCTACCAGCTTACTGCTCTGTGGTTCCATGTATCTACCAGCTTACTGCTCTGTGGTTCCATGTATCTACCAACTTACTGCTCTGTGGTTCCATGTATCTACCAGCTTACTGCTCTGTGGTTCCATGTATCTACCAGCTTACTGCTCTGTGGTTCCATGTATCTACCAGCTTACTGCTCTGTGGTTCCATGTATCTACCAGCTTACTGCTCTGTGGCTCCATGTATCTACCATCTTACTGCTCTGTGGTTCCATGTATCTACCAGCTTACTGCTCTGTGGTTCCATGTATCTACCAGCTTACTGCTCTGTGGTTCCATGTATCTACCAACTTACTGCTCTGTGGTTCCATGTATCTACCAGCTTACTGCTCTGTGGTTCCATGTATCTACCAGCTTACTGCTCTGTGGTTCCATGTATCTACCAGCTTACTGCTCTGTGGTTCCATGTATCTACCAGCTTACTGCTCCGTGGCTCCATGTATCTACCATCTTACTGCTCTGTGGTTCCATGTATCTACCAGCTTACTGCTCTGTGGTTCCATGTATCTACCAGCTTACTGCTCTGTGGTTCCATGTATCTACCAGCTTACTGCTCTGTGGTTCCGTGTACCTACCAGCTTACTGCTCTGTGGTTCCATGTATCTACCAGCCTACTGCTCTGTGGTTCCATGTATCTACCAGCTTACTGCTCTGTGGTTCCATGTATCTACCAGCTTACTGCTCTGTGGTTCCATGTATCTACCAGCTTACTGCTCTGTGGTTCCATGTATCTACCAGCTTACTGCTCTGTGGTT